AGAACTACCGACAAGTGACCAGGGCCGGATTAACGTCGCGCCAGGCCCGTTGCAGATTTTAGCGCGATATATATATATATGCATATATATATATATATGCATATATATATATATATGCATATATATATATATATATATATATATATATATATATATATATATATATATATATATATATATATATATATATATATATATATATATATATATATATATATATATATATATATATATATATATATATATATATATATATATAAATGAATATATAAAATGTATTATATATATAAATGAATATATAAAATATATATAAAATGTTCTCGAGTGTGTCTTTCATAATTTCCATACCCAGCATAAGCATGAGAAAGATAAAGTCTGCCTCGCCTGGGTCTTGAACCCGCGACCTTCGAATATCGCAAAAATGTATATATGTATATGCATTTCCCTTTCTCCTCATGCAATTTTTGCCCAATTTGCATGTGTCTATATAATACACATGTATATATGAGATTGATAATCTATGAACCCAATGGAATGAAATGTGTATCGTCAAACAGATTGTTACCCTCAAGTATCAGCAGAGGCCGCGAAAGCATTTCGAAAGTGGAGGGGCATTGGAAAAAAGGGGCACTTTTCTAAATGACCAAAATCAAACGATTTTATGTCGTTTACGAGCAGAACGAAACTTTTTGAAAATATGGAGTCTCTATAACGTCGGAAATGGCCTTTATACAGAGTCTCTCAGTTTACTACTGCAGAAAGGGCGCTTTAATTCTTTCCAGCAAAAGAGGGCGTCAAGAAATACTTTTTTCGTTCTTTAAATGGGGCTTTTTAGGAGTTTAGCCCAGAAGAAAGGGCACTTTTTTACTTTTAAAAAAGTGGGAGGCACATGCCCATTTCCCCCCGGTTCCGCGGCCCCTGAGTATCAGGGGCCGCGTATATTAATATGGTTAACGTAGTTCATATATTATTATAGTTAACGTAGTTCAAATACTATAATATAGGAATTGGTCGAATAACAAGCCAACCTCTTTAAAACTGGGGGAAATTTAAAATTACATATCAGTATATATGGATATATAACAGCAGTTAATACTGCAGCATAAAATGAAAAGTGCACAAATGATCCCGCCTCATTAAATTCCTTTTAAGGACCCTTAATCATCTTCATAAGTTTCCATATGCTTCCATATGCAAATGTCAGCGTGGAAAAAATTAAGCGTTGACAACAACATATATGATTTTTCTGTTTTCTGTATAGCTTTAAGTTTAAATCGTATTGATCGGTTTTTTACTGGGTTTCTTCTCGGTTATACTAACGGGCTAATGCCTAAGCTATTTAAAATCAATATGGTGAGATAAGCGTTGAACAAAGGTAACCATGCACTTCTGTCCAATGCTTCCGCCTGATATAATACTTCAAGACAGACCATACGGTTAAAATATAAATATCACACCATGCATTATTGTCTTTGAGAAATTAAATCTTAATTATACTGGAGTTTTTGCTTGATTTAGCAAAGAAGACTGACTAGCTTTGTTTTGGTACTTTTTGCACATTTCAAAGCCGGGCATAGATTGTTATCAATCTTGATTAGTTTTACCTCAAACAGCCTGACAGTGTGTTGAAAAACATTTATTAGCCTGGTAATGTGCAAAATATAAAATAATGCAAAATTGTGGCGGCTAGTTTTTTAAGAATACTTATATCCTACAAAACATATCCTAATTCATCGAATATATATTTTTAATGGTTATATTTTCATATCACGCATGCAGGCAGCTCACAAAATATAGTATATAGTCATAGAGGAGGAAGAGTTAGGTTGCCAAAGCGGTTGTATAGTTAAAAAGGGCGAGATCGGAGGAGAATATTTCATTTTTACCCTTTGTATCACAAGGCTTATAGTCGGAGTTAAACACTTGATATGTTTCTGCATGTTATTATTAATATTTCAGTTTGCAGGATGGGTACTTTCTAAATAACACATTAAAGTTGTTTTAGTAGCTGAAGAAAATAAAGTTTTACCTGAATATATTAAATGTTGTTATTAATAATTAATATTTACATAACACCTATAGCACTGACTTGACTATATGCATTTATGAAATATTTTGAGTGAGTTTGGTTAAAACTTGAAATCAACATTAATAAACAGTTTAGTTGATTAGGAAGTTATTTGTGATTCAAGTAAAGTCTAAAATAATTTTATACCTCGTCATATAGCTTGTCACAGAGTGTTAAACATTGAACACTAGTGTTGCACTCATGCATGACGTCATTCAATGACTCGACCGCCGAAATTAACAGACTTTTGTCGCCCATACATGCATCTTCAATTTTGAGTAATTAGTTTTTTTGTTTTCTTGGGAAACAAAACTCTTTAGCTATACCGAAATTTACTTTGCGTGATGCTCTCCGATGCCTTAACTAAATATTTAGTTAACATATGTCTGCAGCAGGTGCTTTTCATGAATATTTTAAACTGAATAACCTAATATATTATATTGCCGTTATATTAAAAATCGGCTTGGGCTTCTCGGTTGTTTCCCTTAGCATCACTTTATGTGTAAAATTGTATAGTCTGCAGTAGACAATTGCCGTATATTATTTTGACCAAAATATTCCGATTTATCGTTCCACCTATATATATATATATTAGTGCCATCAAAAAATAAACAAATTATCGAAAACATTTAGGAGTTAGGAACTTATATTTTCTTGATAGTTTTAAGAATGGTGAAGAAACTATCATCAGATTGAACTTTTCTATTATTTCAGTGTGGTTTTTAAATTATTTTGAGTATACTTTTCGATTGTTTTAAAGTTTTGCGCGCTATAATTTTATTTTCTTGCCAGCCGGCTAAGGAATAACTAACTCATTGCAATCTATAATATGCTGTCAATCAATGACGTCGCCCATCGCAGGCAACCAGAATCGACTGCAGAATTGCATTGTTATATCTACATGCTCGCATTTATTATATTTTCGCCATATTTAATTAACACGACATGCAGTCACAGTTTTACTATTCAGTCAAATATTTAACATGCTTATAGCTATCGGGCTGCCCACATGCGGTGAGACTCACGATATACCTAAAACAGTATGTATAAGCTCTATCGAGTATTGTATATATACGCAATATTATAGCTATACTGCAACTGCATGTGTGATGTAATTTTACAAACATTTGGTCGAACAACCTAATTCCTAAAATTTATATAGAAGTTTTAAAAATGTACGTATACACTGCGCGGTACGAAATGGGGAGTTGTGTACGCGCATATACCAAGGAAGTTTGGAATTTCAAAACTTCGCATAAATCGCATTATTTCACATATTTTAAAGGCTGCAGCATGCAGCGATGTAACTATGATGATACATATAATATTGAAAGAACATAAAATAATCGTTCGTCATGACACGTTGTTCATTTATGATAAGGTAAAATACTATAGTTATTGACATCAATGTTGATGCACGGAAACTTTTTGCGACACCACATTGCTGCCCCACCACTGTGACTAATCCGGCAAACGCCGCGTTTCGCCATTCATATAAAATTATAATAAACTCAACCCGGGATGTAATGTTATATCTCACTCTATACTTCATCCTTGCAAACGTCGGCGACGTTAGGTCGCAAGGATATATCATTTCAGTGACCAGCGTCAGAAGTCTTTAATTCCATTCCTGATAAAATACATAATTATAAGCGATCATATATACACTAAAATTGGTATTAGATACCAATCTTTACTCACCCGCCCCATTGATTGCAGTTTTGTAGTAACTCCATATTACCGTGAAGCACAACAAAATGATAGTCGCTTTCTTCATTTCCTTACGGTAATGGTAAACGCAACACGTTAAGGTGGTGTGAAATCTTATCAGGTTCGCCTAAAAGATGTAGAAAAGTGTATAACCGATGAATGCCCATGTCCCACGACACGGGTTTTCAGTTGGATTTTGCCCATATTTTACTGGCTCTATCGGGACTTTCAGATTTTAAATCCCGGAACTCAAGTTATAATAACCCAAAATTGTAAATAAATTATAAAGCTGAAAAAGTATAGTATTTTAAAATATTGCTGAAACAGTATAAACATTTCTATCCCAAAAATTACCGAAAAACGATTAACAAATTAAGGCATGCATAATTTCTTGATAATTTTTATCTTAGTTGAAACTCCGCGTAAGTTCATTGTCATCCTTGTCTTATCCTTATCTCGTTACTTATCTACACTACTCCATGTCTAATCAGTCTGTATCGAACTGATTCAAAACTTTTGATTATTAACATCCATAAAGATAATTTATATAGTATAAAATCAAAATTTGTTTCCGTGAAGCATTACGCACTGAAATCATGCAAAATATCATAACCTGTCAGGTTTAACTGTATATATCACGTCTAAATATTTTAATTTAATCGATCAAAAAGAGAATTTTACAATATGCAGGCGATTTTCAATTCGGTAAACCATTTTAAGTGTACGTACGATCAACTGTATATAAAAGAAAGATAACAAAATAATTAGATGATCAAAATTGTTATAAATGTCAGAATTATATACGTTGTCGTTAACGTTGTATACATATAAAATATCTGATAAATACCTCAATTGGTTATATGCGGTGTATTATTCGTCGTTTGTAGCAGAATTCTGTGACTTTGCTTCTCCTTCGTCAAGCCACAAATAACTCGGTCGAGAATTCGGCGTTTGATTATAACAGGCGAAAACATCTGACAGACATAAAATGGGCGTTATTGAAGCACGTCTCGACAGCCACTTCACGAGAAAATTTCTAAGTCACGATCACACCGCATGATTGACTTTTGAAGAGCAAAACTTAAAAACAGATGGTTATTGTTTGACTTTATATATACCTTTCTTAATAATATGTTTCTTGCGTAAATGTGGAGCTTTCCAGAAAGTTTATTAACATAAGAAACTGATAAGTAATATAGTTTTTCTATATGTATAAGAATCACACATTCATGAAGGTACAACAACATCTGAAGGTGAAGTTATCATTTTCCCCCTAATATAAATTAAATTTATAGTATTTTTATTTCAATTTAGTCAGTTAATGTTTCGTAATTTAATACGTACAAACAAGTTTTTACACCAACTTCATAAATATTGAGTAAAAATTAACAAAAAAGATCTTTCTACTAATTTAAAAATTCAATCTTCATTTTTATACAATTATAATTAATTTGCATTATACCGTAAACCTCCGAATATAAGCCCCCCTTCGAATTTTTTGCTCCCCCCCCAGGCCTCCCCCAGCCCGAATAATTATAAGCCTCTCCGTGTATTAGCCCATGGGGGGCGTATTGTTGGACAGGCATGTACATACAGTTTATTAACAAAGTGACGGGGATACCAACAGCTCAGAACGAGAGACGATGATGTTGACCAACTTGCTTTATCCCCGAGCCAACGTTCCGGGCGTAAGCCCGGGGTGAGGGTACCAATTCATGGGTTTCACTACAGCATTATGCAGTGAATCTGACAGGGGACAACCTCAAATGTATTGACGCTTATGCTGTACTGGAGTGAGAAAATGATACGAAATTCCATGCAATTGTCACCAAACACAAGGTTAATACTTAAAACGGGCAATCGACTCACTTTGATCACTGTATTTTGCTGTAGAGTTGACCCTCCATCACTTTTGTGACGTTATATTAGTTAACCTGCACCGTAGCAGGAGAACGAACGAATAGTCTCATTAACTGAACGACAGTCTCGTACTCATTCGTATGATAGACGTTTTCTATTGGCTATGAGATAAACTCATTATAATACTCGTAAACTTTCGTTTGTTGTTTATATTAAATATATCAAGCCATATTGACCGTGACGGTAGCGGTGCCAGGGAGTAAATAATGCAATCAATGACTCAATGCAGCAATAAATGTACATGCATTGGTCATTGCTGTTTGCAGCGGTAGAAACAGCAGGATATACAGTCTACCCGCGGCACGAAACACAAACTATAAGATATGAGCAAGTTTAACAAGAGATCTACGTGTGCACTTCAGCATACGTCTATGCGATAGCGTGTGAAAATTCCAGAATAAATGCCAATCAGGTCTATAGTGCAATATATCGTCCCGTTTCTGTGTTCCAACTTTGAAACATGCTTACAACTTGTATAAGTTCAGCTTTGTAAACTATTGCGCGCCAAATATATTAATTTCCGATTAAAAATACTATTCCATGACCATATTTTCTACAATATTCAAGTAGACTTCGCTTTCCCCTGCATCAATCGGCAACAACACTAAGCAAGTAGCTAACAAAGTCTATACATACATGCATGGCAAATATTCGATCAATCGGCTTTTGAAATAACTTAACGTTTTGGGGGAAGTGCACTGAAAACTCACAGTTGATATTGTTAGAACCTCTTGGGAAATAGTCAATTTGAATTTATGCATGGAGTTACTTGAGTTTAGAAAATAAATTAACAAGCTAGCTGAATTTCGAGTATCAGGCAGTAGGCGTCAGCTTCTGTCACACGTACAATATTCAGTATTCATGTTTCGCTCGATGATTGATATATTATTATTATTATTATTATTATTATTATTATTATTATTATTATTACTCATTTATATAGCGCCATTTCCTGCAGCTCAATGGCGCTTAACATTAAGTGTTAAAAATATATACTATATATAAGTACATGCATAATACTAAGGTTGGTAATACATACATTAACTATACTAAAAGTACTATATGTTCTTTTCATTATATTATCAATAGCCACAAGAATATCGTTTTGCACTTTTAATAGGCCTGTTTCCACGCTATGAAAACGTTTATATGCCGACTGGAAAGGTTCTTCTAGGTTGTTATTAGCCAAATGTTCCAGAAGCTGACCGGCGGCGGCCTTCTCAATTACTTTAGACAGGAGTTTTAAATTTGAAATAGGTCTAAAATTTGTGTATTCTTCGTATTCCAACGAATCTTTCTTTAGTTTTGGTTTCAACACGGCTTCTTTTAGTTTTCCAGGCATACAACCTGACTGAAGTGACTCATTACTGATCTTAGTAATTATAGGTAAGAGAGTCTTCTGACAACTTTGAAAGATTTTTGCGGGAACTGGATCAAGTTCACAAGATTTTTTTCCAACTATATCAATAATATTTTTAATTTCATGTTCCGTGACTTCTTGAAAGTTAATGAATTTAGCGCATTGTACATATTGCTCCTCTTGATTTAGCTGATTACAGTGGGAAGAATCAATGACTAGTTCTTGCCGTATAGTAGTAATCTTATTACTGAAGAAATCTGCAAATTTATTCACGAGTTCTGTGGTTGATGACACAGTTGGATAGCGCTTTTCTGACTTTCGATGGAGTAATTTATCAACCGTACTAAATAACACTTTCTGATTATGTGCATTGCTAGAAATAACCGATGAATAGTATGTTGTCTTAGCATTCTTTATCATGGCATTCACTGTCTCACATTGTTTAACATATAACTGTCTGTCAATACATAATCCAGATGCGCGCCAGCGGCGCTCTAATTTTCTGCGATTTCTTTTTTCTTGACCAATCTCTTCATTGTACCATGGTGATAGAGGACGGAGAGTTATAATTCGTCGTTTTTGTGGGGCATGTTGCTGTAATGTTTCTTTCAGCGTATTTTCATATTTATCAATAAGGACTGGGAGATCATAATCATAATCATCATCTAAATCTAGCACTTTTAGATCTTCATTGAAACTATTCATGTTTACATTGTTTAATTTTCGATAGTAAATTTCAGCTTGCTCCAATGGTGGTTTCTCTAATTTTAATGTACAATGTATGGCAAGATGATCTGATATTACTGGATCATGTATTCTGATACCAGTAACTAATTTATCTTCATTCCTTGTTATAATCAAATCTAAAGTGTGGCCTTTATATAACAGAGGTAGGTGAAATTTCCTCTGAAATTAATGTCAATAATGAAACAATAAACGAACAGGACAATAATTCAACCCAAGATCCTACACCAAGTAACCCAACCTTAATTCACCCAGACCCTAGTAGTCCAGCACCCAGTAGTCAATCAAGTGGAAATTACGTCATAGGTTATGGTACAAAAACGAAGCTTCCAAAGTTAACTTTACCCCGGTTCAGAGGAGATATTACTGAATTTCAACCATTTTGGGATAGTTTTAAAAATGCTGTCCATAAGAATATAAGTTTGTCAAGCATTGACAAATTTAATTACTTATATTCCTTGTTGGAGGGTTCAGCATTACTAGTTATTAAGGGGTTGCATTTGACTGAAGAAAACTACAAAGTTGCAATAGATATTCTCAAACAACGTTATGGAAATACACAAGTTGTCATATCCGCCCACATGGATGAAATGTTACAACTTCCCGATTGTTCGACTGGAACGGTACGCGATCTTCGAAGAGTATATGATAAAATTAATGTTAACGTAAGAGAGCTTGAGGCCCTTGGAGTAAAATCGGAACAGTATGGTAGTCTACTTATTCCAATCATCATGTCAAAACTACCATCTGAGTTACGAATTCATGTTGCAAGAAAGACTGCCAGTGAACTTTGGAAAACTGATGATATTCTGGAAATTATTCGAAAGGAAGTGGAAGCACGGGAGATCAGTGAGAGTGTTCGCATAAGCAATTCTAGTTTTAATGACATTCGCAAGCAAAATGAAGTATGGAAACCAAATCGACGGCGGAATTACAGTTCATCTGCGGCAAGTCTATTCGTTAAAGATGGGGAAAATGAGCGAAAGATAAAATGTGTCTATTGTGGACAATATCATTACTCAGCATCGTGCGAACATGTGAAAGATGTGGATGATCGAAAGGGCATTTTAAGAGATCAGAAACGTTGCTATTTATGTTTGCAAGGTGGTTATTGTGCACATGAATGTGAAAATGGCAGGCTCTGTCGTTGGTGCAATGGCAAACACGATTAATCTATTTGTACTAAAGCTACCAAAACACTTCGAAAGATCAATCCTGAAGTAACAACAAAACCAGAAGCGAAAGAGGAGAAAAAAGAAACGCAGAACCTCACAACAACTACAACGTCCAACGGCTCATCAAAGGTGTTTTTGCAAACTGCCACGACAGATGCTTATTCTCAACATAGCAACAGAGCTATTCCTGTTCGAGTACTTTTAGACAGTGGTAGTCAAAGATCATATGCAACCAATCATCTGAAGAAGAGACTTGGCCTTCAACCAGTAAAGAAAGAAACGCTTAACTTGAACACATTTGGGCAGGATAAATTCACAAAACAGAAATGTGATGTTGTTAGTTTGACCTGAAAGGCAAAGATATCGAAATTTCAGCTCTTTGTTTTGAGAAAATCTGTTCACCTATTCCTACCAAGATTGAGCTCGATAAATATCCGCATTTGATGGGATTGGATCTTTCTGATTCCTCTCTCGCCGAGAACAGTCATGATGAAATCGACATCTTGATAGGATCTGATTATTATTACGACATTGTAATTGGGGAAATTGTAAGAGGAGAAGGTGGTCCAGTGGCTGTTAACAGCAAATTTGGATGGGTTCTCTCTGGGCCATCGAGAGACACTGCAAAAAATAACAATGCAACATTATCGCACTTAAAACGAGATGATAACCTGACAGACAGTCTTCAAAGATTCTGGGAGACCGAATCGATTGGTATCAAGAATGATACGTTTAGTGAAACTCAGACAACGGAATTTCTACCCGAGATACATTTTGATAAAGGTGAAGGAAGATATGAAGTTAATCTGCCTTGGAAACCGGACTGTTTTCCAAAGTCAACAGGATATGGTATGTGTGTCAACAGATTGCGACAACTGCATTCGCGTCTGAAGAAAGACAACACTCTTCTGGAAGAATATAATAAAGTATTCAGCAGCAAATAAATAGTGGTATCATTGAATCAGTACCAGAAGATGACGACAACGAGGGTTACTACTTACCACATCATGGAATGTTGAAGTCCGAGAGAGAGACTACGAGTGGTTTTCGATGCATCAGCAAGACCGGATATAGACAGTCCATCCATAAATGAATGCTTACAAAAGGGTCCCAACCTTATACCGCCTTTATTTGATACAATAATAAAATTCAGAAGTTATCCAGTGGGGATTGTTTCTGATATTGAACAGGCCTTTCATCAGGTGCAGATTAGTCCATCCGATCGTTGTATGCTTGGGTTCTTTTGGTTCGATGACATTCGAAAGGACAATCCCACTATTAAAAGATTCCAATTCCAACGCCTCGTATTTGGCTTAACACCGAGTCCAGCAATTTTGTCCACTGTGATACAAAATCATTTATCCCAACATGACGAAAACGGTGCTGTTATACGCCAGCTGTTAAAAGAATCGCTCTACGTTGACGACTTCGCAGGATGAGCTGATAATGATCAAGAAGCATTGGACATTTACGATAAATCTCAAGAGGTAACGAAGAAGGGTGGATTTGTTTTGCGTAAGTGGAATTCGAATTCCAAGGTTTTACAAGATCGAATTGAGAAAGATACATTGTCAAACGGAACACAAACGACATCAAGTTCAGTTTTCGAAAGTGAAAGAGAGATTGATTCAAAACATAGCAAGGAAATTACGCCTGTCAATATATTAGGATCTAACTGGAACGTTAAGACTGACAAATTCCAATTCGGTGTAAAGGAACTGGTTGAATATACCAAAACACTACCCGCTACAAAGAGATCTGTATTAAAGGCTTCAGCAAAGATTTTTGACCCAATTGGAATACTTAGTCCATTTACAGTCAATCTTAAAATCTTATTCCAGATTGCTTTCTTGTGATCGCGTAGATTGGGATGAGAAACTCGATGAAAATTCATTAGCATGTTGGAGCTGTTACAAGGATTAGAGTCAATCAATTCAATTGAAGTGCCAAGATGCTACTTCAGTTGTTTCAATGTACCAGTAACGAGCCAGCAAATCCATGGATGCCTCCGTAAAAGCATACGCAGCGGTAGTTTATCTGCGAACAGAGCATGAAGACCATCATGTTGAAACCAACATCATAGCATCCAAGACTAGAGTCGCTCCGATTGAAAGCAGTCTATTCCTAGGTTGGAACTTCTAGGAGCTACTATCCTTTTGTCAAATTTCTCACATTTGTTTCTAAACCAATCTTGAAGAAAAAAGTTTTGACGAAATGTCATTCTGAGGTCAGCGAAATAGTATTTACCCCGTATTTTATCTCCATATCTGTTCCGTTGATCCGCTCCATCCGCTTCCGCATTTTAACCTAATTGTGACATGTTTCACAATAACAAGTCTCATTGACCTTTGACTTTATATTCCCAGTGTCACGTAGTGTCATTTTCAGCTTTTCGCATAGATTCAATGTCACTTTAAGATTTCAATCGTTTCAGTTATGGCAGTGTTTAAAGCAATGTTGACAAGCTTTGATACAGCTCTGTGTACAGATTGATTCTCGTAAGATCTGGTAGAGTTATCGTTGCACTGAACACGAGTTTCGGCACCGTTGTGCTAGACAGTAAACGGTACGCGTTGGCTACCTCCTTGCTTTTTTATTCTATTGCATATTAAAGCTTGTTGGCGAGCCAAGCGATTGGCGATAACACGTTGGCTATCTCCTTGTCTTTCTTGTTTAAATAAAGAGCTCTGACTCAACTGATTTCTTTAGTCTCGCAAGTTATTTTATTCGTAAACGCCATACAAACACCCGCTTCTGCTTAATTTAATAGTTGTTTACGAATTACACTTTATTGATCTGATGCAATTTTTCGCTCTTTGTATTGAGTGTAGCCATCTATTCTGTGATGTAGGACTTTATACAGTCAATGTACAGTATAATGGATACACGGTCTAAATCATATGGTCTAAATAATATCGATAGGCACTTAATTGAATGCCGTATTGCGGTATTAAATGCATAACATCAATTGTGTATTGCGTAGATCGGCAAAGATTTTCTCAATATTAATGTCTGAAATATTTTATATAACCTTAATGACACAAGTTGACAACACAATATTAAACACAAAGCTTTATTTTGTGGGAGAGGGGTTCGGGGTTGTGAAGAGTCCATTTACAGTATATGACAAGCATCATGCCAACTCATATGTCACACCCTATTAGCTGCACTGATTCTGAACTGGCACTGATAATCTGACCAAGATTCACTTGGACAGTCCTAACCTGACCAACTAGAGCACAAGACCCCAGTATGGACAGTCCTTACCCTGACCAATCGGAGCGCAAAACCCCTATGGACAGTCCTTAACCTGACCAAAGGCACAAAACCCATAAGGCCAGTCCTTAACCTGAACATGGGGGGTAACCCCCCATGGACAGTCCTTAGATTTAGATATATTATGTGTGACATATATTGAGTCTATGGGCCTGAAGTTGACATTTTATGGAGACTTCAACCCCACAAATACACAGAATGTGTATTCCCATAGACGAACCCTCCCCCCGAAACGTGGTTAATTACTTAGCGGTTAGCACATCTGTCAAAGTGGCTGATACCCCAGATAGAGTTGATAATGGAATTTTGATATAGCGTTCATAACAGTCGGATGTCCATCGTCCTAATGTTTTGATTAGCCAGGATGGCAGTTCCGCAGAGGCTGCTGTTGTTGCAGCACCAATCCGATAGCTATGACCAACATAATGAGCAGCATTTAAGCCAGACTTAGTGAGAAGAGATCGTGTCTCAGTTATCAGTGCTTGCTTTGTCAATGGCTTTCCTGAAGCATGAACGAAAAGGGGGCCATTGAGTGATTTGCGACTTGTAAGATATCGCTTCATATCTAAAACTGGACATAATGGTGAACCCTAACCCCTAACCCTAACCCTAACCCTAACCCTAGCTAGTAGACCCAATTGTAATTGTTTGACCCACCCGAAAGGGGTCAGTTTTTGACTCTTTGATCAAGATTGTCATCGATTTGGGTTTTTGCGTCTCCTGAATAAAATTAAATGATATATTGTCTGGTGTCAAGTGGGTATCGGTATTAAATTTGGAATTACATGTTAGTTCTCCCAGACGGAGGAAACCAAAGAATGCCAAAGTCATTGCAGCCCAGAACATTAATGAGTCATAATTTTTGGTAGATGGAATGGATAGTAACAGGTGGAACAACTGCAGATGATGAATAGTTATTGGTAAGCGTATTCGAATTTGGCCACCTTGAGCTCTCTTTATACCACGTAAGACCAGTTGCAGGCGTGTCATTTTTTGAAAGTTTAACTTAAAACCCTGGCGAATATGATGTCGAACAGCTGCTAGGTAATTTTTTATTGAGGAATGTTTTATAGTTCTAGCCAAGTACACAACAAACTCAGTCAGCATAGATTCTGTTGCCGGGAGACACTGTTCGACTTGAGTGCATTTAACTAAAAGGATGAATTCAACAAAGCGTTTTTCACCTGAGCTGTATGTTTGTTTGGTAGAAGGTGCCACTGCCAAATTGATATATTTTTCAATGTCGTTTTTCAAATTGTTAGCAGAAAAGTCGGGATGTAGCATGGGTTGGGATCTGCATGAGGTGCCAATTGTGTGAACCGTTGGTGCTGAAAACGAGAGAGAGTCTGCAATTTCATTTCGTTTTCCGGGTATGTGTTGAGCTCGAATGTAAAAATTATATTGCATTGTTAGCAGGGTCAAACGGCGAATTAGATCCATGGCCTTTGGCACACGTGAACGTTTTGTGTTAATCATACTGACTACTGCTTCATTGTCACAGTTAAAGATAATACGTTTTTCCTGGAGAAGCTCTCCCCATATCTGGCATGCGACTATAATGGCAAAAAGCTCTTGCCAAGCGATACTAATTCCTGGTGTTCCTAGTTGTTGGTGGGGTTGCCATGTGCCCTGGAACCATCTATACTCAAATATACCCCCATACCCTAGTGCTCCTGATGCATCTGTATGGAGTTGCAGGCAATCTGAATCTTGCCAGGTGGATGAAAGGAAAAAGTTAGCTCCATTCCAATTTATTACAAATTGTTTCCACATCTCCAGATCTTTAAAGAACCCGGTATTCAGTTTTATGTGGTGGTGGGGCTTCTTAACATTTCGGGTTAAATCAATCATGCGCTGTAAGAAGGGCCTACCTGGTGGGACAACCTTGCATGCAAAGTTCAATGTACCAATTAGGGATTGTAATTGTTTTAAAGTACAAGAACGTCTGTTTTCAAATTGTCCAAAAAGTTCCTTCAATCGCTCAATTTTTTCAGTGGGAAGACGTGCTTCCATTCTCAGGGTGTCTAATGTTATACCCATAAAATCAAGTACCTGTAGGGGACCTTGAGTTTTACTCGGGGCAATTGGGATGTTCAGGTTATTGAAAGTAAGCAGCATTGCAGCAAGGCTTTGCTGACAGGGACTCTCGGGAGAGAAAAGTTCCGACTTAGGTTCAATGACTAAGAAATCATCTAAAATGTGGCAGACAAAAGAAATGTGACATTTGTTAATCAAGATCCATTCTATCGCATCAGAAAGTTGATTGAAAATAAATGGGGCGCTTCGAAGGCCAAAGGGTAAGACCTTGTCATAAAAATATTTCCCCTGCCAAAACATACCCAGTAGCTCATAATCATCGGGGTGAATGGGAATCAGTCGAAATGCCGATTCTATGTCAGTTTTTGCAAGGAAACAGCCCTGGCCAAAACGCTTTATACCTTCAATGGCATGATCAATGGTGACATATTGCAAACTGAAATCCTCCTTGGAAATTGCATAATTTATGCTGGTCGTACCTGTCTTAGGAAAAGAGAGATGAAAAATTGTTCGAAATTTGTCAGAGTTCTTTTTTGGAACCAAGCAAATTGGTGAAATTTGGAAATTTGGAAATGGTGGGTTATCATAGGGACCAGCCACCCGACCAAGCGAAATCTCATGTGCTAAGTTATTTGCGACCACACTAGGGTCAGCCAGTGCCGTGGGTAAATTTCTAGAAAATTTTGGGGCACGTTGCCCCTCAAAACCAATTCGTGCACCAAACCTTAAATTATTGCAAACCTGAAATACAAAATTAGAACCAGGGTGTCCAGTAAGGGCACTTTCTAACTTATCAACTAAAATAGGTGTTGGTAGTTGATTATAAGAATCAATGGGCATGCGTAGACTTCTTTGACTTGTCGCTGCTCCTGGGGAGTTGGTCATGCTCTGGTCGACGTTGATTGCAGCTAAAGCCTGGGTGGGTACCTGAGCATCTGTTGCATTCGTGACGGTAGGGACAACTGGTGTTTTTAAACTCACCCCTTTTGTTATATTCATGGCAGGTATTTCCTCTTCTAGCGGCCCCTGAGAGGATAGTATTTTGCTGGGGTCCATTTGTGAAAAGGGGGTATTCCCGTCTTAAAATGTCAGGTGGTATTGTGAAAAGACATAACCAAAGCTGCTGGTCAATTTGTGACCAGTTGAGACTGGCATTGAGGGCAGCTTTTCGGCGGAACTTGTGATCATAAATACACCAGCCAAGGCCCCGATGGGTTTGGGAGGCATAGCGGATGAGGGACATATACTGAAGCAACTCTTGGGATCGCGAGGGGAACTTTGATGTTAATATGCCCATATACACAGTGAACGCTGTAGTCCATTGTTCGATATTCGTTATTTTTTGAGTTTGCTGATTAGCCTTCTTAGCTTTTATAATGGAGTTTTCCAAGGTTAAGACCACAGAGTCCTCCTCCACAGTGGAAGGGAATTCACGAGGTAATAATTTTGCTAAATCAAAAAACTCACCCGTTTGTATCTGCTTGACATAGGCAGCGGGCACATCCAACGCGGGGTGGCCGTAAGATGGCATCTGAGTTGGAACAAAGGATTCATTCTCGGGCACATGAGGAGGAAAATCTGGAATAACCACGGTCGGCACAGCAGCAGGTACTGGGTTAGGGCTTCGTGTTGATGAAGTCAAAGTGGCGTGATGATCTGCTACTCGGTCCTCTAGAGTCGCTGGCGAACTTTCGTTTGGCGAGGTCGCTGAACATTGCAATGCATTCACAGCAGCACGGGCCGCTTGGCTGGCAATTTCCGTTATTGAGTCTTCGATGCTGCGCGATACAATAGATCGAACTTGTGTCATTTGCGCGTCGTTTAGCAGGCTTGGAGTATGTACGCTTTCTCCGGTAGGCACTGGCGTGGAAGTTTGCGACGTTGAGGCACTTGGCGTTGCGTTATCCAACGGCTGAGACGTAGTAGAAGGTCCAGACGAAGCGTATTGTTGTAACCGAGATACCAAAGTTGCCTTTCGGCCTTTAGTCGAAAGGCCCTTCTCTGCGCACTTTCTGCGAAGGTCACTTATACTATACTCTTGGTTTCGTATTGGGGGCATTGTAAAAATATATACTGTATACACAATGCCACGAATAAAAAGAAAATTTTTTGATGTTACTCTGTCGACGGCTCAGAGTAAATTACATTTTTTGCATGAACTCGTGCATGTTATGCGCTAATTAGGATGGGCTGTGTTATGGCCTATGATTGGTCAAAGCACAGAACACAATCGTACAAGGTTTTCAATTGGTTCACAGCAAGTTTCACGGTTTGTGCACGTGAATGCGTGCTAGCTGGCAGAAGATGATCTTTGACCTATATGTCAAGATCTTTGACATAACTGTCAGGCATTAGGTTGATATAAACCAGGGATTCCTCCTCATCTTACCATTGCACCTTGTCTCATTAACTTAAATTTATATGGGCTATAAATTTGCTTATTTGAAAACAACACTGTCTCGCTCCTTCCTACGTGCTACCTCTGTATAATGAGTATACCGTGAAAATAATATCGGCACTCAATGCCTAGAATCTCAAAGGACAAAGATTTTCGACTCAATATTTACGTCTGAAGTGTTTATACACTTGAAAAAAAAGCACTGACCACTGTCTAGCTCCTTCCTAGCTCTGTATAATGACTATACCGTCTAAATAATATCGGCACTTAATTGAATGTCCGTAATGCATAACATCAATTTATATATTGCGCAGATTCTCAAAGATTTATTCACGTCTGAATTCTGAAATGTTATACATTTAAAAACAACACTGTCGCTCTATTATATGTATGGTCGCTCCTTTCTAGCAAATCGTCACGCCATCGTGATCTACGGCTTGATAGCGCATGCGCATTTGCGCTGCTAAAGAAAAAATCGGGTGTTCCGGGGTAAATATCCTTTACACAACATGAGAAGTGAAGGTTATAAAATTTACAAAAAATTACAATAACGAAAACGATTCCTCGAAATTTTTGTGAACTTGGCAAAACGATAAAAGAATATTTAAATAAGACAACTGAAATTAACTAAATAACTTTCAAAGCACTGACTAAGTACAACAAATCACCACGAACATAAATCGTATACACCCCCCGGAAAGTTTACTCTATGACTTACTCGTTTGAATTTGCCAGTCATCACAATACTGTGAAGTTTCGAAGAAACTTCACACTAAAAAGCGCACGAAACACGAGCCGAAGGCGAGTGATTTTGCGCGCTTTTCTTAACTCGAGCAACATTCCCAAGTGTTTGGATCAGGCCATCCAAACACGGAAACCATAAAGTAATTGTTTTATAAAATAACAACAACACGATATTCTTGCAAGTTTTATTTAAATAAGCGCAAGTATAAAAGCTAAATTCTCCCAAGTTGCAATGCTAAATTCTCCCAAGTTCGCGAACGACCTACAACGAAGCTATTAATATATAATTTTGTAAACAATCAGGTCAATCAACCGTGAAACACTACAACGTAGATTTAGAACGACGTTTTGGTGTTTAAAAGTTTAACATAATTACAAATGTTGATTAAAGTTCACGTTTACACTGCTGATTAAGCAGTTGCTAAACATTCCGCCGAAATCAGGCAATCCTTGCAACGAGACGCTAGGTGACGAAGAACCTAGGTCAGAAGAAGCAATTGTTGTCGCTTTTGTCATGGTGGTTTGTGAGACTATTCCGACTGCAGGTTTCTTCCTAAGTGGTTTATTATGCCCCGTATTGTCCCCAAGAGCTCCGGAAAGAACTTCGCTTGAACGCTTCAACTGATGTGACGATGGTCGCTGATTGTAGTGGACAAGAGACTGTTCGCTGCGATGCCCTGAAATTGCCATTATATGGCGATTTGTTAAGCCGGCGTTGGATCACAGTGTTATAGACGTCGCTCTCACGGAGTGGTTAGTGTAATCTTTCGACAGAGATGCTGCTTCGCTGATAGTTTTCATCATATTACCAAGCGTGTTTACACCAAGAGGTTTGTTCTCGTACCAAGCACTGTCAGCCGGTAAAAACAAAGCTATCCTTCGTCAGCTTTCGTTGTCCTTCTCGTCCTCTGCGACACCAAAACAAAGACACATGAAACCATACGTTTCTAAGAAGACCAAGTGGAGTGGACACATTCAATACGTCGCTATTTTTTAGCTTTGTGAGGTCTTCAGCTTCCAAGACGGACTTGTGTACAACATTCTCCTTTCCCTGTTTCTTCAAGGATACTATCTTGGCGTTCAGCACGGAGTTTGACATTTTAAATGCTGGGTTGGACGACATGCTCAAACCTCTGTTGTACGGTGGACAGTTCAGGTATCGCTCTACTCCGTGTTTTAAACCAATTAAAGTTGATTTACTGTAGTCTTCACCTTGCTGGTTTTTTACTTCGGCGTAAAATTGACAAAGACATTTATCAACAGTTTTGTTGTCCATTTCGTGCAATTCTTGTTGGATGTTTCGCTGTTTCGACCATTCTATAAATACATGTAAGCAAATAGAAATTATAGGAATGACAGCGAAATAGTGTAGACTACTGAATTTCAACACTTGCGGTCTAAATGCGAATGTTTATATTATTTATAAATCTAAACAATCACTATACCTTTAAAAACATTGACAGCGTATGTTGTTTTATACTTCGTATTTTTTGACTGTACATCGCTTAACAGCTCGTCAATATTCTCCTGGGTTACTTCAGCAAACCTTTTACGCGTTTCACCCTTTTCTGCGGTTGCACAAATGCCCTCCAAATCAATTTTGGCAAAAAATTCGTCTTCAGAGTCAGACATATTTAAAATTCTCGCAAAGGTACTTTAAATTTCCGTGTTTGGATGGCCTGATCCAAACACGGGTTTCGACCAATCAGAGCACGCGTTATATACATGTTATTTTATAAAAGCTGATCGTTGCGTTTACTTTAAATGAAAAAAGACAGCATATGATTTCAGGGTATCTTTATTGATTAACCTTTTTTATTATATTAAAATTTTTAAAGTGGAAGTCAAGTCCGTATGTAAACAAACGGTTTGTTTACATTTTGAACTGCTGTATTTTTTTAAAATATGATGTACTGTCTGAATATCTAACACCATTTTGGTCCGCTATGCTTCTAAAATCAATATGAAATAGAGTTTATGTTCAGAAAAATTCGAAATTTGGGCAATGTTTACATCAGAGGTCCTCACATTGTTATGAGCAGAAGCGATGCGCAAAACGGACTTGACTTCCACTTTAAGTAAAAAAGAAAGCAAAGTTATTTGAATGCGATAATTTGAAGCGTTTGTGGTTGCATTTTACCTTAAATTGAAGCTTATATTACGTATAATAACATATACCTAACATATATATGTTTGGGAAATTGATAATTTTGTAATAAAAAGGGATTTTTCATTTGTAAAAATATTCTTAACAAAATTATCGTGTTACCATGACAACTACTTTAAATACTTCATGTTCGGAAAATAGAATGGTTTTGTCAGCAAGGCGAGGGGTTTCTGCATGCATGTATTTTCTAGTACTTTTGTATTTGAGCATACATAAAACATGCATTACTAAACTTTTAAAAGCATTTACCTTTCTTTTAAACAACCCTGAAATTCCCTGAAGTAGCAATAGTAAGTGAATTCACATAAAACACCCCAAACGACGTGAACGTTTTACTCTGTTGGCGTGGTCATGAGCCGTAAAAATGATGTAAATAACGTAGCAGTTTGAACAACTATACGGCGTACTATAGAATGCTTAAGGAATGCAAATTATATATTCGCCTTCATCTTAGAGTAAAGATGCTATTGTTGATGACCACGTTCTCGTTGCCGATGCCGTTGTATTTGCCAAACTCTCTATTTTCATCGTAAGACAGTGGCGGACATTAGGGGGAGGGGGGCAATAATAGGTGAATAACTATGTAACAAAGTTGTGACAATTATTTTTCGACCATGAAAGCATGGTAGGTTATAGATTAAGCTATAAACTCACCTGCCACTGAAGTTCTGTACTGAGGATCTAAAGCCTGATCAATCTCATCAAATAAATAAAACGGAGCAGGATCACAACGTTGTATAGCGAAGATCAATGCGAGTGCAACCAAGGATTTCTGCCCACCAGACAGTTGATTCATTTCCCGTGTTTCTGCTGATTTCCCAGTAAACGATACCTGGAGTAATATAGTACATTGGATTAGATGCAGCCTATACCTAAAATCGATATTGTCCAAAATAACCTGTACTATCGCAAAGGTATAGCTTAGGGTCGACTGAGAATCCATTCTTGTGTTTATTCACTCAACTGCGCCTGTGGTACGTACCAAGGACGTACGAAGGACGGATAGCGCTATCCACTGGATACCGGATTTTCTCATCCTCTGTCGAGGCCAACCTGCTATCGTATGATAAGTGCATGTCGTCAGGTATTAAGGTATTTTCTCAGTTGATGAATTAGTATCAGCATTGCCGTGAACTAAAATGCAATAGACTATAGATATACCCTTTTCAATTTCTTAAAATACCTTGATTGACACGCCAGAAAATTTATCAGTTGGAAGTTTCGATTGACTTTGACTACTAGACGACTGACTTTGACTGCTTTCACCTCCATCGTCCTATGAACAATACACCATATATGACAAAATGTCTCGTCTAGAACCGGAGAGAAGTACTAAAGGGTTTTTGTAGGACAGTGGGTGGAAATTTCTAGTAATTTTTCTTAGTAATTTTTATACATTTTTAGACCTATCACTAGAAGCTGCGAAAAATCGGCTATTAGTAAAACAAGGAGCAGTAGAAAAACCACAATTTTAGTTTTCATTGTTTCAAATAAATTTATCGTGTCATTGGCATTTTCAACAAAATTTTAAATAAAAAATTGAGAATTTGTTTACTTCTTCATACTGCATGCCAAGTGGGCCACACAAACGATACTGTTGACGTACCTTTGACTGTTGGCTGCTGGATTGCTGACTGTTGCTGTCATCATCCTGTATTCAAAAATAACCATGCAAAAGTCATGATTTCTGAGTTGAATGCATTCATAATCAGGGTGCGATAATTTGGGTAATTATTGCCGCAGATAAATATAAAACAATCAGATTATCAGAATCAACTAATCGGAAAACCAGGTTTGAATCCCAAACATCGAAGTCTTTCCATTCAGAAAAGCATTTTTCTTTTCAAATTTTCGCTAGACAACAAACTTTTGAAAGAATTTTCCTCGCTTCTGAAACTGTCCTTACCAGTGGCAGGGTATACTAAATAAACTTACAGGATTAGATGGACCTTCAGTCTTCATGACCAGATTCGCTTTACCATGTGGAACCAATTCTTTAAATACAGCCGTAAAATTGTACGACACCTTATTACAAAAATGATAAAAAATAATATACAAGAAATACTCTAGCCAAACTTCAAAGTCCTGAATTTGTAACTACTTTGCTCTAGCCAAATTTCAAAGTCCTGAATTTGCAACTACTTTGCTCTTTACCTGTTTGAATGTGAATAAAATGGCTTCGTGTTTGCGGTGTTCTAACACTTCCATTAACTCCGTAATTGCCTAAACAAAGGAACAGAAAGGTTTCAAAAACGTTAGCCTAAGTTAAGTGTAGTGGATGTTCTTGAATGTGGGTTATTCCTATTAATTATACAAATAATGAATGTTTATGAGTGCAATAGTAAGATATTTTCACGAGGCGAAAGATTTAATTTTCCTTTCACGACGAGGCGACAGCCGAGTGGAATGGAAAATTCCTCTTTCACCGAATAAAAATATGTTTTGCCAATGCATAAATGAAAACATTCCTTATTTGTTTTATATAACACCAAAATCCTGAAAATAGATCAATTTTGCCATGTTCAAATATAATTAAAATCCAACAAAAAGCGCCAATAAACGTTTTAGTAAAGAATTAATATGATAATGGCGGTAATTTATCGTAACAATTGTAACAATATTGTATTTTTATACCCGCCATTTTGCTTCGCACAAGTTACGTTATTTGAATTTAATTCCATGGGTCTCAGTATGAAAATTATAGTTAAATGAGCTACGATTACGATGCGAATAGGATTTTGATGATTGAATTTAATTAAACCCAAGAGTTGAATATAGTACAAAAAAAGAAAATGGAAATTTTAATTCCAAGGTCATTATATAAAGTGTTATATAAAGGTCATTATTATATAAATGACAAAATTACTGCAATCTGATTGGTTAAGAGGAGTGCAATTGTGATGGCTGGGGGGAGCGGGAAATCAAAACAACAAAAATCCAATATGGCGGCGAAATTTGTCTTACAAACGTGGACGAATTTAACTACATTTTGGCACCATAATGAGTTTAAAAAACATAGTATGGCAAAAAGAGCGTGTGGAAAATACCTGGAAGTAGATTTTAAGAAATAATCTCGGCGGGATGCAGTGAAACGTGACTATGTAAGTCTGTAATACAATTTATAAAGATTTTCTTTTACTCCAAAGTCCAAAATATGTTGTTTGAATTTGAATCATGCGTTCTAGTTTAAGTTATGTTGCTTTTATGAGCTTTTGATCATTTCTCAAGTTTGCTTGTGCCAAATTGCTTACAAAAGAGTTGAAAACTCTTGGCAAAATGCAGTTGAATTTTAAAGAAAGCGATTTTGTCATGCATATAATAAATAACTCGCCTCGGCGCTCGTGCAATTTTGGCCCATTTTTCAAAAATCACTCGTGGTGTTAATCATTAATTGCACTCCTTCCCGTGTGATTACCTATACTTATAGTATTAGGTTCTCAATAAGTGTTTTATATTCAGTAGGCTCTGGTGATGAATGAGTATTACGTAACTAAGCGTGTGGCAAACCTGCAAATCCTGGACATTAGTGACCTGCTAAGTACATGTCTTACCGCATATCCCTTATCCACCTCATCCTTTCGTTTCATAAGCTTTTCTTTCTGTTCAGAAAAGTTAACAAATTGATCCAAGGCTTTCTTGTTAACATGACTGAATTTCTTTAGTTCTTCATTGCATTTCTGAAGCTTCTTCCAAAGCTAGTGAAATATTTAAACAAAATGAATTGCAAGCCCTGATAAAATATTTTTCTTCCGGGCAGCAGGCTTCCCAGACCAAAAATTTCCTGCCAATTTTTTTTATAAATATGAATTTTGGTTGTAATTCAATAACACTAACAGAGTCGTATATACTACCTTAATAAGTCATATATACTACCTCAATATTAAGAAAAATATAGGTTTACTAGAATTAGGAACAAAGTTAAGGTAAAAGTTTAAAAACAAATTAATATAATATATTTTTAAATTTTAAAGATATGAACAATAAGTTTACAAGAAGTACTTCACTGCGTAAGGACAAAAAGAATGCATGTCCTTGTTTACAACTTGTTTGACAGTTGCACTAAAACAAAAGTATGCAGCAAACATACAGGAGAATGAGGAGAATAGGATTATAGGAGATGGCCAGCTTTTTGAGTAAAACATTGAAAGTTTCCGGCAGAGCCTGTCGGCTACTCCTCCTTAGGAATAACTACAAAGAACATTTGAGACTGAAACATCCAGACGAAGATTATAATGACTTACGTACTGCAAACCAAACTACTATTTCCAGTTTATTCGCACGTGGGACCTTACGGTCCGATAGGTCAATTGAGACTGAAGTTGAAAGTACCAGCTCCACCCTATAGGAGCTTTTGACGACGATTGCAGCAATAAAAAGAAGGCGCGGAGGGGGTACATGCCAGACACAGAGCTATTCTGGTCGAAGAGGTTTTAGATACAACAACGGAATACAAATTGGGGATAAATTAGATATGATCCCAAATGAAACTTGATAAAATTTGGGATGTGGTAACTGACATAAAAAAGCAGATGCACGAACTGAGAGGACATAACAAAGAGAAGAAACCAACAGTTGCCGAAAGGCCTGAAACGTCGACTGCGGACATTGACACTTCTGAAAGCGATTCATTCGTGGTTTCGTTAAATAAGGCAAGATCTGTGTCTGACTTAAAAACACTTGGTTTGGAATACAACAACGAGGGTAAGTTCTTTTTTTGTTCTACGTGTTTTGATCCCAAGAGTGATTCAGAGTTGCAGGCAGGAGTTTTTAAGTATGAAAAAGTACTTGGCCTAGAGTTCGAAGAAGATATGCAACTTCCAAGAAAATACCGCAATGTAAAGACTAGCTTTAAAAGACATATTGACAGAGAAGAACATAAAGATTGTCTTTCTAATATTGAGACAAAAATACAAAGAACTAAAGCTTTCCAACAGGAACGACAATGCTGAGATGGCAATTGGGGGAACATGCTATTTACTCTACAAACACGGTAGACCTTTTGCTAATTTTGAGCAGATGATGTTTTTACAGTCAGTGTTGACCTTGGTGAAATTAATCATTCTGTACAATTCGCCAGAGGCTTCCTTCCATTTGTTGCAATGAATGTGAAAAGCCGGCTCAACAAATTTCTCTCCACAAGGCTCCCCCAGACAGGGCATAGACCTGCCCTCAATGTCTTAGCAGATAAAGCTACATCAAAGCACCGCACAAAACAAATTATTGGTGTAGCTATGGTAGTACCTGATGAGAAAATCGCAAGAAGTGGCACTACTTGGGCATCCCATTGTTAAAGGCCATCATGGAGTTGATATAGCTGACAACACAGTTGGAGAGCAGTTAGAAGGAGGATCAACAGATGGCCAGTACTTCCCGAAGCTTTTGAGAGACTGTATGGCCTTGCCGACGGTCTTGGGATGCACTACTGCATAGGACTGGTCTTGTTGATTCGTGGCTAATGAAAGAGGACAATTTTAAGTGGGTCTTAGATGTTTGTATCAGTGTTTACAATCTATTCAACTGGGGGCAGAATTATGAAAAAACTTGTCGAGTAGTGTGAAACGTTTAAGATTTGCTAACTCTAAAAGATTGGTGTTCATCAACATTAAAGATTTAGAACCAGTTGTCAGTTGTCTCCAAAATACACAAATGGACGCTTCAGATGATGCAGCTCTATCATCCAGCATTCTCAACACCAGGTTCCTCCTTCGCCTCACAGGATTGGCCAACATTTACAACCAATATGACATTCTTGTAAACAAAGTGCAAGAAGTTAATCTGCTTCCATATGAAAGGCTAGAAGAGTTTCAGGCAGCTAATGCAAAGTTAAGTAAGATGGCAGATTGTGTGGAAGATTGCAACTTGTGCCCACTCAAAGATAACAAAAAGGTTTGCTATTGGCCAGATTTTCATGCTGCTGTGAAGACATTGAAAGAGGAAAAAAAGATCTGTTCTTTAGTGGTTCCAGATGATCGTGAGGAACGTGCAGGTGTTGGGGCAAATATCACAAGATCCGTATCCAGAAAAGAGACGACTTCGTCACGAAAATTTTGTTGAAAGAGCAACACATGAATTGAAAGTGTTTACAGAAAAAATATCCAAAGAACTGGAAGAAAACGTATTTGGTGAAGATGATGTTAAGGTTATTTCACACACAAAGACAATAACCGACCTCAAATCAATTCTGTACACAGTGAAACATGATGGTCCAATAAAAACTGTTGTAACAAAGGCTGATTAGTATGTCAAATCCACAGTGAAACATGATGGTCCAATAAAAACTGTTGTAACAAAGGCTGATTAGTATGTCAAATCCATTCGTGAACTGCCTGTCAGATCCCTAGCCAATGTGCCGGATAATGTTCTTTATGCTCAATTCCATGATTTAGTTAGTTGCTCGTATCGAATCACTTGTCCCCATGAATATTGATACAAAGAACATCAATTCAAAGGACATCATAAAGGTCCTGATTACTGAACGTTCTGGAAACATATAAAGAAATTGAGATACTTTGTACAAGTTATCTGGTGTGCATCAGTGAAAGTGTCTGTTGAATCGGTGATCGAGTCCCTCATTAGTGTCTATGAATTTCATTTTAATAAATCGAGAACCGTTAAAGAAGATACTGGTGAAGCTGAAATGGAAATCGCAGTGAATGGTCCAACTATTGCCCATTGTGACCCCATAGTTCGACATGCAATGGACCAGTACTGGTTGGATAAAGCAAAGAAAAAAGCTTGGCACTTTGTCCGAACAACAAACATAAGGGATCATTTTCAATATACAGTGTCAAAAGTTGTGTGTGTCAAAAGTTATTTATCTGGTAATTATGTTAATTCAATGTCCCTGGAATTAACAACTGAAGAAGAAATAGTGGAAATAATTAATTCATTGCGATCTGGAACCGCGGCTGGCTATGATAACATTCCGATATCGGCCTTAAAAAATTCTGTTAGTGTAATTTCAGAACCTATTGCTCATATTATTAATCTTTCTATTTCATCTGGCATTGTTCCTGATCTTATGAAAATTGCTCGTGTTATTCCATTATTCAAGTCGGGTGACCACTACCGTAAATCATGATATTTTATTGATAAACTCCAACATTATGGCATCAGAGGATTGGCTCTTGATTGGATAAAAAGTTACTTTTTCAACCGCCTACAATATGTCCAATACAATGAACTTCTTCCACTTACAAAATTATAAAATGTGGGGTGCCCCAGGGTTCTATCCTTGGGCCACTCTGTTTCTTCTATATATTAATGATTTAGGCAATGTTTCTGATATATTCGAGTTGATTTTATTCGCTGATGACACTAATTTATTCTGCTCCCATAAGGACTTTTTTTCATTGGGAAATATTATCAACGGTGAAATTGAAAAGTTGTCTGAGTGGTTTAAGGCTAATAAGCTGTCAATTAATATAAAGAAATCTAATTATATGATCTTTAAACCTAGACAAAAAGGATTAGTAAATGATTTATCTATAACATTAAACGGTCATACAATTGATAGAGTAAAAGAAATTGCTTTTCTTGGTGTTATTTTGGATGAACCTTTTTCTTGGAAACCTCATATTTCTCAAGTTGCTAGGAAAATATCAAAATCTATAGGTATCATATACAAAGCCAGTTTTTCCCTTTCAAAGTCTTCCTTATTTAAATTGTATTATTCTCTAGTTTATCCTTATTTACAGTATTGTTTAATTGTTTGGGGTTCTGCCTACGCAACAAATTTAAAACGCATGCATAATGATTATCTTGCTTCAAAAGCGCATTGTTAGAATTATTAATAAAGAAACATTTAATGCACACACTGACCCGATTTTTGCTGAAGTTAAGATATTGAAATTCGAAAATATCTATTTGTATCAGCTAGGGAAATTTATGTATTTATATCGAAATAATTTACTACCCAAAAGTTTTGATAACCTCTTTCTTCGTACGAGTCAAGTTCATAACTATAATACACGTCAGTCTAACTTGTATCACATCCCCTTTTGCAGAACAAACATTAGAAAATTCTCAGTTAGTTACCAAGCCCCGAAATTTTTTAATACATTAAGTTGCGATATTCGCAATGCGTCAAGTGTTTCTTTATTTCAGTCTAAATTAAAAAAATACTTGTTTTCCTCGTAATTGCCTTAACATTCATTATTTTTCTTCTTTATTTGACAATTTAATATTTTTTATTTTATTGCTTTTATTATTCATCTGTAATGATATATTATTATTACTGTAATTACTGTATTTTGATATCAGTATATTGATATCAGTATAATTATTGTTTCCACCGTACCGTCTCCATATCTATCAGAGCAAGTTTGTAGTATAAAGGAGCCCAATTTTATAAGCCTTTTGGTTTCTTTTGGGCTTCCTTGCCTTCTCCTATTCACTTATTAAATTTGTAAATATCTAACTTGTGGCAGAATAAATTGATTTGATTTGATTTGGATAGAGTTTCTCACCAGCCCTCGAAGTTTCCTTTCATGGATGGATAATTAATACACTGATTGATATTTGATGGATGTCCAGGTCCTATGTGATTGATTACTTACACTTACAGAGTTACAGTACTAAAGTTTTGCACTTTTGTCATTTTAAATGGTTTCAACATTCTCATTACAAAAGAGTAACAGACAAAAGTCATTAGTTTTATATAGTATTAGTAATAGTAGCAGTGTAGTACTATAGAAAATACAGTTGCTTGTCTCAACTCTCAAGAAAGGGCATTTCATCAGGCAAATTACTACTAAGGTAGTAACTAGTAACTAGCAGGGCGTCTATAAGAATGGGCGGTGAAACGCCAGTGAAAGCTTTGAAACATGTGTGATGCGCGGACCCCCCACGTTGTTCGAAAGCGGTTTCATTGCATTTTCGGTTTCAAGATGGTGGGCTGCTAATTGGAAATTGCCATCAATTTAAATGGCAGTTTTGTAGCGGTTTTCTCGTCATGCCCGCGTACTATATTAAAGCACAATTTCAAGTTTGCCACGAAGTATGAATTAGTGAATTTTGCATTTCGGCATTGTGGACTTCGAGCGAAAATTGTGAAAAAAGATCAAAAAGTTGTGTTACCGTACTCAGGTCAAATGGATCCTATTAGTTAGGGCAGTCATTGTGCAATTTTTCTAGCTTCTTGGGCCACAGCAAGCATCTCAATTTTTTATGGAAAAATTTCATGTTGAAAATTTCGAAGCCGTCACATAGCGACGCGGTCAAGTGTTTCTGTCAAGTAAGATAACATTTTCTTGTATTATTACTCGCATAATGTCTAAATATATACATATCAAGGGAAACATATATCTTGTCTTTCAGATAGGCACATAAAGTGAACAAAAAATATGATTTCAAGGTTTTTACGTAGGTATTTTTAGACCTCGTAGTTGCGACAGCCGTTGTGCTGTAAAAAATATTGAATAAGTTAAATTCTACAGGGTGTCTAAAAAAACGCTACGGAAATTCAACAGGCTGTCGTGCATCATAAACGTGGCTAAACAATTAAATTTTTACATACGACGAAAGAACAGTTATTTAGCTTTTCAATGATACTCTTTTTAAATCGTAACGATGAGAAATGGCCACATACTCGTCAAATAAAAATTGCCGGTCGAAATCACATTCTTCCACCGTTGGGAATTATATGGAAAATGAACCATAGACAATTCCCAAGAGGAATTAAAATTGAATGTTAAATTATCTAAAATGAGCTCAACTCGTCGATCTTCGTCATAGTAGTTAACATGCACCGAAGCACGTAAACGAACGTAAAGCCTCATTACTGAACGAAACAATCGTCAAAACTACAGTTCCCTATTGGCTGATAGCACTCAATCCGTTCTCAACCGTATAATAGCAAGCTCTTATTGGATAAACGTTTGGCATAATTTATTCGCACGAAAGTTGGCAGTGTGTTGGTGATTTACATACGATTGCTTACGTACGGAACGTAAACGCGAAATTTGCATGCATGAGATGTTATAACTCGAGACGTCTCGCTCATTCCCTGAAAAACTTGCACGCTTGATGCATGCCATTCTTTACCTAGTAAACTAAAACTCAGAATATCCGCAGAATGTTAACTGATATAACTTTGGAAGTCGACCTGGCCGCTGTTTGTACACGAAAATTTAGTTCATTTTCAATGGAATTTGATGACTCGACAGTCTCGTGCCATATCGATATGCTGTACTGTATTCGAATTTGCATGAAAGTAAACACAATTCCCAAAGGGCAAAATTGCAACAGATGTCTACAGGGTGTCCCAAAAAACCCAAAAACTATTGAAATCACCAATAACAATTTAATTGTTAGAATTTGAATGCCTTAGCGCTCTGTTGGTTCCCACGAGTGCATAAATGATTGACATAAGTAAATTTTATGCATAAAGAAACTGTTTAAGAAGCTGTTTTTAATTCCCAGGAGCAGAAAATCGCGCACTTTGCCAGGATATATTCCTAACTAAATTCTAATACATGCGCCTTGTCAATATTTTACGCATCATTACGTCCAGCTGTTTGGTAGGGCATTCAAATTTAACAATAAGTGATTTCAATAGTTTTCGTTTTTTTTGGGACACCCTGTATACTATAGACATTGTCATTGCGCTGCTCAATACAGCGTTTCGTAAATATTTCGATTCCCAAAGCCAAACATATTTGTGAAGACAGTTAAATTCGTTCATGAATCAATCATGACATTACGAGATTTATAGCGAGAACATGTACATATCAACGATATTTCAGCATTGAAGCATGCATATAAACACGGCGAGCAAGAGTAAAACGATTTTAATTTAAAATCGATAGAAGAAAATGGATCGCTAGAAAATGTTTATGGCCAGTCTGTTTTGGGGATTTGACCTTGAAGGCTGAAAGACTAATTAATGTATTCTCTTGTGACTTTTAGTGTCTGGAGAAGTTTTAAGATTCAGACATTTTCTGGGCAAATAGTTGGACATATGTCTGCACGAGAATGAAAACTTTGTATATGCAAACATATTTTCGCACGATGCCGCGATAGTACGTTAGGCAATCTCAAGACTCTATAGTGATCTACACGACTACACATGTCGACATAGCTTCAAATCGAAATTGTGATTAACTGACAACATGATAAAGTCTTTAGAATTCGCACATTTTACAAACAATATGCATATCTATGGTCTTATTTACACATATTACATGTGGAGCCAATCAGAATTCAATTTCTTACGTTTGCAAATTAACATAACTGAATATACGTTCGTTTACGTGCTTCGGTGAATGTTAACTAGTGAGATAATAACTCAATACGAACGCCATTAAACATGCACGGTTGAATTAACCCCTGAACAGAGAACATTCGTAATCAACACACGTTTTACGAAAGAAATAGCTTGCAGCAGGCTCGCGTTGCTTTTGGATTGACCTACTTTGCATAATTAATGTATTTTCAATTCCCAACGGTGGAAGAATGTGATTTCGACCGATAATTTTTATTTGACGAGTATGTGGCCATTTCTCATCGTTACGATTTAAAAAAGGTATCATAGAGAAGCTAAATAACAGCTCTTTCATCCTATGTAAAAATTGAATTGTTTAACTAAGTTTATGATGCACGGCAGCCTGCTGAATTTCCATAGCGTTTTTTTGAGACACCCTGTATAAACGATTACAAAAAAGGGTAACAAAAACTACATGATGAAATCTTGCATAATAAATGTTAACATAATGTACATCACAACTCTAAAGTTTAATACCATTTGGCCGTTTCCCCGCTGAAAAAAATCCAAATATTTGCCGTCTACGTAAGAATCGACTAAGTTGACACGCAGGTTTATAGTTTTGAAGTTGAAATATTTCGGTGATTAACGTTACAGAAACATTTTTCGGCACTACAGCGGTAGCTAACGATCTGTGTAGCACAAGAAAAAGGTATCTTGGACATCGAGTCAAAAACTGCCAAGTTACAATCGTTTTAATGAAGCCTGTTGAAAATTTTAATTTTTCTGTTTTCTTCGAGAACTCCTTGTTGTGCACGCTAGGCCCCAGGCCTAAAGTGCATCACACATGTTTCAGCTGCTTCACTGGCGTTTCACCGCCCATTCTTATAGACGCCCTGTAACTAGTAAGGCAGTTAAATTATATTTGATATTTCTACAATTCTATGAATTCAAACAATATTTGAATTTTGTTTTCAGATTATAAATCTGAATTTATATCAGTATTCATGCACTATTCAATAATAGTAGTACGCCCTTGTTTTCCACATGTATCATAATCATGAATCATGATAACACACAGTAGTAGCACTGCCACATGATACAAATTTTTATGTTACGATTTTTGTATTTATGCTCTAATGGTGATGTTTGTTACTTTAATACTGATTTTTGAAATTTCTCGAGCTTCATTCTTGATATCTTGCTTTTCCTTAAAAATTTCCTGTGAGATTAAAAAAAAATCCTGGCAGCATGCTGCCATGCTGGCTAGCCAGCGTAGCCGGCTCTTTTATAGGGCAGATAATTGAAGAAGAACCTGCCCGAAAGTCCTAGTAAAAAGGATCACTCTCGGCAGCCAGCTGCCGAGAATTATGACTGGCTGAATTTACGTTGACGACAGGTTGATTGACATGTTACGCTAATTTATTCAAAAATTTAAAAATAAATACAGTAAAAACAAACGGGCATCGCTATTAAAGTGTAAACCTGTCGGCTAAAATATAAAATTCAAAAGACAAAGTGTAAAATGTGTAACATATACCGGTATCTAAACAGAATAAGGCAAGCCATACTGCTATTACTGCATATGTCGTATGATTTTACCGTATGGTCACTATAGTATATACAGTATAAAACCTTGGCTGTCCTTGCCTTGTTTATAATTTTGCTAGCTGGCAAGTTGTGTTTTATACACCATAATAATACGAAGCTCTCTCTCTGAAGCTTTTAAAATACATTTGCCTGCCAACGTGTATAACACGGGAAGGGGTCTATTTACTTTTTTCCTAAGTCATTTATTATATTGAATACTGCAATATTTATAACTGTAGTACAGCCATACAGGTGCAACGCATAATATAATTTTGAACGGTCTTCGTCTACTGTTAATTTCCACACAAACTCGAAATGCCAACGTTTTGCCTGTGTTTTCCAGGCAGTTGAATCGCTATCCATCTATTAAAAAGTTTATTGAAAGCAACATATGTTTATACTATATACTGTGGCAACAATTGACATTTTACGCCACATTTATACAAAACTATTGCAATTTGCAAGTGGGTGGTGTTAATATGGAATATTAACTAAGTAGGCGTGATCAATTTTACTAGGGCTTTCGGGAGGCTCTTCTTATAAAAGAGCCGGCCACGCTGGCTAATGCTGGTCGACTTTCTCATGCCTTGATGAATTGCTGCGGAAGCGACCAAGTGACAAAGCAGACCTAATTTGTGAATGTATTGTGGTCGTGCGTGTAGGAGCTGCGCAGTACACCGTTTGTTGCTGTTTCTCGTAGTTTGTTGTTGTTGTTTGTTGTTGTTGTACGTTGTTGTTGTACGTTGTTGTACGTTGTTGTACGTTGTTGTTGTACGTTGTTGTTGTTTATAACATTGTTGTCGGTTGTTGTTGTTACTGTTGTTATTGTATCTACTGCCGCAGTTGTTGTTGGGTTAAACAATACTTACCGCCTTGACATTGGTCGACTGGTATTTCTCAAAGGCGTCCACGGGAAGAGATCCTAATTCTCGAATCTTCTTCATACATTCCTCTTTCTATTAAATATGACAAAATGTTTCATCTCACACTACGTTTTGTATGGTGTCTTATCCCCGCCAAAATTCGAAGTTTTCATTTGTGATACATTTTTTTTAAATTTGACATCCAAATGATCGTTTTATGCATAATATTTTCTAATTTTTTGTAATTTGTATACACCTTTTTCCATTTTATACACAACTTTTTTTTCACTCAACTTCAAAAGTTTTGTATTTTGTATACAACTTTTTCCATTCAACTTTTTCTATTTTACATACAACTTTTGTATTGGCAACTTTTTATTTCCAACCGCAATCCAATAAGAAACATAGTGCGGGCTCATTGTATCAACCACTGACCAAAGTTCCACGGGCGCTTCCGTTTCGGCGCCATTTTTTTGTGTTTCATATCACGTGGAGGCTGTAGAGTACATTTTGGAGATAATTCATATTGTTCTAAATGTCGTGAACAGGTTAATTGAGTTAGGTGATGGTTCAATGGACTTTCAAGTGTTGGCACTGAAGTTAGATTATTTACAGCGATTACTTGTTGGTTTAAACGTGGATGACTCTATAGTAGCAATGGTGGGACAAGCTTGCAGGGTAATGAATGAATTGGATAATGCAGAAATGAGGGGCTAGAAATGAGATCATCTGCATTATCTAATTCATGCTTGTCCCACCATTTACGCTTCATGCTTGTCCCACCATTGCTAATATACAGGGTGTATAAAAAAAACCAGAACAGATTTGAAATTGCTCTCAATTTCGCAAAACAGCTATAGTATCCAGTTTTTGATGTATATAGCTTCTTTGGGTACTTATATTGAAGTTCTCGAACTCAAATTTTGTGAACCAGGGGTATGTGTCTTTTCCAACAAACTAAAAATGGCTCGCGCACGAAATTTAAAAGTTTTAATCATATTTTGAGTTAATAGATGGAAAATTTGTTGGGTTTTTAATTACTGCACAAAATTGCAGACAATTTGCTTTAGTTTAGGCTTTTAACTATTCACGCAAACTTACTTTTTTCCTAAAAATCAGCTATTTGCATGCTTAATTAATTCCTTTGCCTAATTTGCATATGTCAGCAATATGCGAAAGGCTGATTTTTTAGGAAAAAATGAATAGCTAAACGGCTTAAACTAAAGCAAATTGTCTGAAATTGACCATTTGCGTAATAGACTAAATTTTGATCTCAACAAGTCTAGACAAAAATTTCATCACAACTTGAAAGAGCATCACAAAATTAGTAATAATCCAGAGTTTCGTTGCGAAATGTTGTAAAATGCGGAAAATATAGCCTTGCGAAGTTTGCAATTTTCAGTCATTTTAGATTACAAACGGGAAATTGACAGCCCCAAACCCTTTGAGGCTGTCAATTTCCCGTTTGTAATCTAAAATGACTGAAAACTGCAAACTTCGCAAGGCTATATTTTACGCATTTTACAACATTTCGAAACGAAACTTTGGAATATTACTAATTTTGTGATGCTCTTTCAAGCTGTGATGAAATTTATGTTGCGATCAAAATTTAGTCTATTACGCAAGTGGTCAATTTTGTACAGTAATTAAAATCCCAACAAAGTTTCCATCTATTAACTCAAAATATGATTAAAGCTTTTAAATTTTGTGCGCAAGCCATTTTTAGTTTGTTGGAAAAGACACCCCCCCCCCTGGTTCACAAAATTTGAGTTCGAGAATTTTTTCGTTATTCTACATTATAAGTACCCAAAGAAGCTATATAGATAAAAAACTGGACACTAAGGCCAAATAAAAAAAAATACTTGGTTAGCGTCACACTCTCACAAATTTTCAGAGGCGGGCGGGCGCTTTTTTTTTTTAATTTTTACTCGTTTTTTAATTTTTTAATAGTATTTTTTGGGGGGATGGGGGCGGTTTTTCCACCATGTCGGTGAAATTTTTTGTACTGATGTTGCGAAGGCCGCCATTTTGCTATAAGAACCTTGTATACCCAATCCCACGCGCGCTCCTATCGATCAGTATATAGCGCGAAGGTCTGAGCATGAGAAAAATTTCAAATATTAATCTGTTTTAAGCTGTAAAACGAAGAGATTTACATAAAAAAAAATAAAAAAAAATTCAGAGGCGGCAGAAATCGAGAGGCGGGCGGTGACGCTAACCAAGTATTTTTTTTTATTTGGCCTAATAGCCGTTTTGCGAAATTGAGAGCAAATTCTTATCTGTTCACGTTTTTTTATACACACTGTAGAGTCATCCACGTTTAATTTAAAACAAAAAGTATAAATCGCTATAAATAATCTAACTTGATTGCCAACGATGAGAAATGGCCACATACTCGTCAAACAAAAATTGTCGGTCGAAATCACATTCTTCCACCAATGGTAATTGAAAATACATTAATTATGCAAAGTTAATCAATCCAAAATCAACGCGAGCCTGCTGCAAGGTACTTGTTTCGTAAAACGTTTTGATTACGAATGTTCTCTGTTCAGTGGTTAATTGAACCATGTTTAATGCAATAATGGACGTTCTTATGGTCTCACTAAGACGAAGATTGACGAGTTGAGCTTATTTTATATAATTTAACATTCAATTTTAATTTCCTCTTGGGAATTGTTTATGTTTCGTTTTCCATGCAATTCCCAACGGTGGAAGAATGTGATTTCGACCGGCAACTATTATTTGACGAGATGTGGCCATTTCTCATCGTCACGATTTAAAAAGAGTATCATTGAAAAGCTAAATAACTGTTCTTTCGTCCTATGTAAAAATTTAATTGTTTAGCCACGCATATGATGCACGACAGCCTGTTGAATTTCCATAGCGTTTTTTTTTGTTTTTTTTAGACATCCTGTATAGCCTCCTCGTCAATTTTTTTAAAAGACTGTAATAGAACGTAATATCAAACACAAAAAATGGCGCCGAAACGGAAGCGCCCGTGGAACTTTGGTCAATGGTTGACACAATGAGCCCGCAGTATATAAAACTTTGTATATAAAAAAGAAGTTGAATGAAAATTATATATGCGTTTCATTTACCACAGGTAATCTCAACTGTTTTAGGGTAAAATGAGCATGGCGGTCAACATGGCATATGTGCCAAAACCTGAATCCGGGACGAAAGTCCTGAAAATGACCCCGCCCTGAAACGGCAGTGCCGACATAGCTCTAACTTCCGAAAAGCAAAAGCGACAGCCTTTCTGAAGTGCTTATAGTGTGTAGAAGGGTTGCTTTTAGGGGTGGTTATTGGAAGGAAACATTTGTGTAAATATAATATTTTACAAGAAAATGACCATTCATCAGCCCAGGTAAATTGCTAATTATTCACAAAATAACTAATATACATGGCAGAAATTAAATATCCTTATTTCCTAAGAAAAAGTTATCATGGGATGAAAAACTATGCTTAATTTAATATAATTATTGTAGTTTTCATAAGGATAGTCATTGTTGTCTATAAATATAATATATTTTATTTCACTTACCCCCCACGAAAACACGATTTCAGCCATATTTTGCCGTCTTGTTTGCTTTATATAGCCGTGTCTCGCAGATAACATCCAGTTGTTGCACTTTTACATAATGGCAAATGGTTAAAAAAGATTTCAACCAAGTTTCGGCTAGTTTTGAAGCAGTGCAGTGTATTTTATCTTCGATATTATCGCCTTCCATATTTCGTCTAATATGCCGCCATTTTAATGGCTCGCCGATTCTCTGCACGATAAATGCAACTTCTTCGTCTTCATATGTATTTAAATTACAGTATCCAAGAGTACTTCATTGTAGAATAGTCCTAATCGAAAAATTGAAAACATTACTTGCACTTGGAAGCAAAAAACCTCCCATAACAAATTCAAGATAGGAATAAAAACAAATCATTTGAAAGTCACGCGCAATCTTCGCGAAAATTCCTCGTGGCTACTTGACAGGGGGGGGGGGGCGAATATTTTCACGAAAAGTTGTTCGCCAACAGCGACCTAACTGGATATATTATATTTATTGTATTTTTATGATTGATAACAAAAATACGTAAATATTTATTGTTTTTATCTTTAAATCATAAAATACAATAAATAAAATATATTTAGTTGAAACTTGAGTTGCTGTGGTGGCGAACAAACGTTTCGTGAAAATATTCGCCCCCCCCCCTGTTAAGTAGCCACGAGGAATTTTCGCGAAGATTGCGCGTGACTTTCAAATGATTTGTTTTTATTCCTATCCTGAATTTGTTATGGGAGGTTTTTTCCTTCCAAGTGGAACTAATGTTTTCAATTTTTCGATTAGGACTATTCTACAATGAAGTACTCTTGGATACTGTAATCTAAATACATATGAAGACGAAGAAGTGGCATTTATCGGGCAGAGAATCCGTGAGCCATTAAAATGGCGGCATATTAGACGAAACTAGCCGAAACTTGGTTGAAATCTTCTTTAACCATTTGCCATTATGTAAAAGTACAACAACTGGATGTTATTTGCGAAACACGGCGATATAAAACAAACAAGACGGCAACATATGGCTGAAATCGTGTTTTCGTGGGGGGTAAGTGAAATAAAATATATTATATTTATAGAAAACAATGACTATCCTTATGAAAACTACAATAATTATATTAAATTAAGCATAGCTTTTCATCCCATGATAATTATTTTTAGAATGCAAGGATATTTAATTTCTGCCATGTATATTAGTTATTTTGTGAATAATTAGCAATTTACCTGGGCTGATGAATGGTCATTTTCTTGTAAAATATTATATTTACACACATTTTTCCTTCCAATAACCACCCCTAAAAGCAACCCTTCTACACACTATAAGCACTTCAGAAAGGCTGTCGCTTTTGCTTTTCGGAAGTTAGAGCTATGTCGGCACTGCCGTTTCAGGGCGGGGTCATTTTCAGGACTTTCGTCCCGGATTCAGGTTTGGGCACATATGCCATGTTGACCGCCATGGTCATTTTACCCTAAAACAGTTGAGATTACCTGTGGTAAATGAAACGCATACAAAGTCCTATACAGGTCCTAGACTATATACAAATTACAAAAAATTGTGTGTAAAATAGAAAAATGTTATGCATAAAACGATAACTTAGATGTCAAATTTAAACTCAGAGATCCCAAGGATAGTACAAAGTTCATATGACAAATGATCAGAAAGCAATGGCTATAACAGCAAAGAAATGGCTATAACAGCAAAATCGAGTGTATCACATACATGATAAAATATTTATTATGATTCACACGTAATACACGAAATGGACCCATGGCCATGCAAGAATATGACTAATTAGCGAAACAACGGAACTGCGGAACTTGCATAACTTACGTTACTTAATTAAAAAAAATTGCAAAATATTGCAAATTCCATATAAGAGCCATGTAACTCATAAATGCTGTAGTATACTTTTAATTGAAAATATCCCGGTGACATATATTGAATGGCATTTTTAATAGCATTTTTCATTACTTGGGCCGTGAGACGAATAGAATATAAATACTAACAACTTTGAAAACAGATATCCAATTTTGCTAATCGATTGTCAACGAAACGTACGATTAAATTGTAGTTTTGAAAATAATATGAAAGTACACAATTTGGCTAATCTCATACTTCAAAATTTTCTTCCAAATTCTAGTTTTTTTCTGGAAGGAACACCGAGAATTGACATGTTTACGACTTTTATTGACAATTAAACAGATATGCTGGCGACAAATAACAGAATCGTATAAATAAACAATAAAAACGCTTATTTTATTAAGTTCCATGGACGGCAGACGACGGGGCACTTTATAAACACATGATTACTACCGCAACTAATTATAATACAAGTGAATGTCATTTACAGTAATAACCCTAACAAAAGCTCCAAAACTAAGGCGCTTTTTTATAGAAGTTTCCTGAGAAAGACGGCGTATAGCCATCATACATACATATTGATGCTGATTAAAAAAATTCATTGCTAAGAATTATTCGAACGGGTGAAAACATAATTCATTTTACATATGTACGGCTGGTATACTTTAATTTAGGGTAGACATTTTCATACTTTAAATAGTGTGGACTTGTTGTTTTATAATGAAAATAATCCCCGTAAACATTTATACAATATTTCCAAAAGTTGGCCGAGAAAGACGGCGTATAGCCTATCATACATACGTATTGAATTGATTAAAAAATTATTGCTAAGGATTCGAACGGGTGAAAACATATTGTGAGGCTAATTGCGGTAGCAATCATGTGTTTACAAAATGCTCCGTCTTCCGCAGTCCACCGTCCACGTCCGCCTATTTTCTACTCCCAAATGTGCAAGCTCTGCAGCGCTATTTATAGAACTACATTAACATTGTTTACTACATTGTATTTCATACAGTATCACGCACGGAAATTCTGTTCCGCTAAGCATAGACGGATTTTCATCTTTTTTACTGGGAGTGGTGCCAGAAATTTTAGGGGGGTGAGCCGTGAGCAGGTGACTGAAGCAACACAAAAGTGTCACCAAACCCTAGTAAGGTCTATATTCTAGGGGTGGAGCACTAGAGCCGCGAGGGGGAGTCTAGAGAGCAGAAAACAAAGTATCCCTGGAAAAAAATCATGATTTCTCGCTTTGAAAAAAAGTTTTTTGAAGTTGTCATATCAATGGATTTGGCATGTCCGATTGTCTGTTCAGACTTGAGGGAGTTAAAGTTAAATGAACCTGTAAAAGTGTAAACCCAATAGGCCAGTACACAATATGCTTTTACTTTTATAAAGTCATTGACATCGTATCGTTTGAATCCGAGTACAATTTATGATGCAACTCCGATGTAAATAATATTTGGGGCGTAAATATTAAATCTAGGCAAGTCTATTTCCTAAAAGAATTAAAAACTAAAAGTAATGTTCGTAAAAATTCCAAACGTTCCTTGCAAGCAAGCTATTTGCATGACAAGACACTGAAAACTCTATTCAGGGGAGATAATAGAGTTTCAAAACTTTACAATTGCTCCAATAAATCAGTGAATGCAAGCGAGGAGCGATTAGTTTCAGAGTATTGCACTGTCTTTTTCTATTTGAGTGCTCCTACGTTTATCTTGTACCATCAACACTCTGCACGTTGGAGTGGACTATTTTCTTTTTTTTATTATGCCGAATATTGGGGGGGGGTTGGAAATTTTTTTGGAGGGGTGGACATTTTGTTTGGGGGGTTATAGCTAATATTGGGGGGTAGCACCCCCCTGCACCCCCCCCACACAAAATCCGTCTATGCCGCTAAGGAGACGTTTTGGTATAGGCAGGAATAAATAACAAGACCTTTGATATAGTTTTTTTTACTGAATTTGTTTTATTCCGTAGTCTGCATTTTATACCGAGTGAGAGTCTGTAATTTTAGACTGCAATTTACACCTATACAGTAGTCTGTACTTTTATTATTCTTGGTCTGCAGATTATACTGACCAGCTGCTAATACGTTTTGTAACAAAGTACAAAACTTCGTTACAATATATGATAATAAACGATTTAGAAAGAACATTAGGCCCGTTTCAGACGCCGCTCCACTTATTTATAAAGGTAAAAATGTTGAAAAGTCCATTATACTGAAAATGAACTGATTTCGACTTTAAAGGAACACTGAGAAAATGCTTTATGCGGTATGCCGTATAAAATCGTATAGGATGTTGAATTGTGCTACTGATTTGCCAAAAATTCTTGGTAATTTTGAACACAGACAGGAATATATCAGTCGCATTCTCCAGCAAGACGATTTTACCCAATATGCATTTCCATGTTTACATCAATTGCAAATCTCGCAGAAAAGCCGCATATGGCGCAATAGCCACGCGGTTCTCCTGATGAGGCATACAAGCAAATTCAGGGGGAGGACACTGAAAAGAATGTCAGGAATGTGTAAAAAAGAAGACAGAAAAGGCGATGCTAAGACTTCGATAAGATAAACATTTGAAGGGATATGGCGTAAATCGCTTATTCAATAAGGATGTAATGTTTTTTGCGTCTTCAAGAAACAAAATACGCCAAAATATAGAAAAATATGATTTAGTTTCGAAATACAGTCTACAAATTGCACCCCCGGAATGTTAACATTTGTTTACGATCCCTAGCTGATGTAAATTTTCAGCCTCATAACAATAGTACAAATTTTCTAAAGAAACTTTGCACTAAAAAGTGTATTTCACATGAAAAGTTCGAATTTTGGCGGGGATAGGACACCATAGTTTTGCAATATTGATTTTATAATTTCCATGAAATGGCAAAACAATGGTATATGTAAAAAATAATAGTGCATGCCTATTTATACCTTCTTCACGAGGACGCTCTTTTTGTTTGCAATCTTTTCCACAGACTTCGAATCATCTTCCAACCTAAGACGACGATCCTTTTCCGTATTCTACAAAAAATTAAATTGATAATTATAAGGAAAATGTAACCAGATTAATTACTGTTCATGTGACAATTGCTATAGTACCTCCTGTACGGATGTGAATTATTTTAAATACCATGATGGTCTGTGGGATATAGACGTATACTCTAGGAGTTATGCAAATTTGTATACAACCAGCATAAAAGAACCACTATTTTTTATGTCAGGTTGAAGTGCACGATTCTTATACAATAGGTACTTAGCACGAAAGGCCGAGTTGGTTATTTTGTGAGGATTTCAACTGTATTTTTCGTTTTAAAAGGAGTAAATACTTGCCGAGATATTTAGGCCTACATCAGAAATAATTAAACCGTAAAAACTGGTTCTTATGGGACGGATATGCGCACAATTTTACAATAATTGTTCAGTTAGTAAAGAAAGCACCATATTCACAGTTTGTGTAGACTTTAACACAAGTATGAATATCAGATATGGAGGCATCTGTGAAATTAACGCTGATACCTAAAAATTTTGAATTTCTGACATTTCAATATAAATTTTTATTACTGATAAAAAAATTAAAATTCCAAGGTAGCTCACAGAAAATAAGTTGTATGGTTGAAACGTACACAAAAAACTGTCTATACATAGAACATTAAGGTGGCTCCCTAGGGTTTTTTAATTTACTACACTATAGTATTCAGGAGACTCCTGTTTCTTCACTTTACATGACATGAAGACGAAATTTATTGGACACATTGACAATGTTCTATTACAAATTGCAACTTTTGTATTAAAAATCTGTTGTCACCGCAACAGCATGTTTAGAATAATGCTCAAAATTTGTCTTTTTCAGGTCATTTTAAAAATTCCCTTCGGTGAAATTTTTTAAAACTTTGCATAAAAGGTAATACTTGTATGATTTTTCCCCTCAATTTAAAAAAAAATTAAATCGATACGTTTCTTAGAAAATTTAAAAAACGTCAAAAATCAATATTAAAAATTTTCCCTTCGATTTAATTTTAAGAAAAAAGGATATTGCAATTGTTGTGCCGATATTAAAAAATGTGCAAAGTTTTAAAAAAATTCACCGAAGGAAAACGGAGAAATTTGAGTTTAATTTTGGCAATTTTTACTAAATTTTGACGCGAACAATAAAATACCACAACTGACGTGTACAAGCATTTTGTATAAAACAAGGCATGCATGACTTTTTTGAAATCACAAAATATAAATTATGTTTGATATACGGTTTATAACTGTGTCGGTTAATAGTCAACTAAGCGTGGATTATACATGTAAAATTGGCAAAGATATTTAGGTAATTACTGGTTATGACTTCTTGGTATTAATTTGAAAAAATGTTTGTCAAAATTCGTCCCGTGCGAGTTAGTACTATCGTCGGATGTTTTCGCAAAATGCCCGTTCAAATTTCAGTTTTTATAGTGGTATGTTTGGAGTTTCGGCCCTGCTCATTTCACCCGTAGAGGGCTCATTATTTAAGTCATCTTTATGTCATAAGTGCTGCTAGATTGTGGAGAAAACACTGAAAATTCTTGAGGAAACTTTATATCATATCCCAACTGATGTTCGCAATCGAACCTCGCGTACAGCGCCACGGCGGTCAGTCAAAAAACTTCCAGAATACCGCTTGAAAAAAAACAAGTTTACATTATCTTCTTTTGAAACATCACATCCAAGTATCGTTGTGGCTTTTAGAACTCTTTTTATGCTTTAAACTAAAGCAAAATTCACACTTTTGTTTCGAAAAGAGTTAAAACACAACGTTCGTTCGTATTTTGAAGTCACACAAGTTTTAGTTTACATATATACGAAGAACGTAACCCTCGGAAATAAAACCCTAGGGAGCCACCTTAAAGCAGTTTTTTTATTTGCCCAGTCGTTTTTTAAGTTAATCAGTTTCGCCTTTTTTAACAAGTTTCAGCTCAGGAAATATTTGGAAAATGAAAACTAGGGATCCAAGGATAGTGTGAAGTTTCAAATTAGCCATTCCGAAGTTGATGAGAGGACTGGGGACGAGTGTTAAAAAGTGCCCAAATTAAGAAATGAACCAAATCAGTAAAACCACGACCACCTCAAAATTAGTAAGTATACAAAATTTGAAGACGTTTACATGAATACCCTTCGAATAATAAGCTTTCGAAAATTGTGAAATTACTGATTAATGTTAAAAGATTGTTTTTGGGACGCGCGTCCCCAAAAATTTACTAAACCTCTCTCGGCTTTCGGGTACATTTAATCACTAATCGACCTGAATGCCATGCTATTACTTATAATAAATCACTGGGAACATAAATCGTATAAACCCCCCCGGAAAGTTTACTCTATGACTGAATGACTGACTGACTGATAAGTGTGAATTTTCGCCACCATCACAATAGTGTAAAGTGAAACTTTACACTAAAAACTGCTTTAAAACTCTTTGGCGGCCCACCCCAAATCATTCATCCGCTAGCGGTTGACGGCTTTGTGTTTTCATATCTTCGGTTCAGTGCATGCTATGAAGATAGAAATACCACCATTCGACTCAGAAATAAAAGATTCAACTAATTCCTCACTATAGTTTTAGTCATTATCAACATTGTAGCGATTTATGGGCCTTTGAAGTCAAACATGATCATATTATATCAAATTACGCAATTGTCTGAACAAAAATATAAACAAGCCATACCTTTCGCCGAAAATAACTTCGGCCCCTTCGAACATATCGTCTTTGTAATAGTCTTGTTCGAATCCCCATCAAAAACACTATTTAGAGTGTTATTTTCTTGCCTGTATCTTCAAATCGGGACCTTTTATCAATATATTTCCATTTCTTGTCCGACTGTGAGCTCGAAGTGAGTTAATCCAAACCGGAAATACGACTGAAAACCGTCAAAACAATGGGACGTTTGTATCGTATGACCTTGGAAAGGCCAGAAATGGATTCTACAGGTCAAATTGCACCCACACGCGTGAGTTTGACGTCATCCCGGCCACAGGAGTTTTCTTATTGGCCAATTATTGCACAATGTACGCGACTGTGACGTGGTGAGAGTAAAACCCGACATTTTGAAAAATTTAAAATAAATATTTCTACTCGCCGTATTCAAACGAAATTTTGTACACGAAAGCGCTTGAATACAAAGAGTATTTTACACCTACAGCCGTTCAGCAAATTACAAAAAGTTCCAGAGATATTCAAGATCTTAAAGATATGAAATTTAGAATCTTAGGCCAAGCGGTGAGTAAGTATATCATTGTTTCGGTTTGTGTTATGTGCTGACGGCACTTGACCCCCCAGTTCGAAAGGATATTTTGTGAGGATTACAATGGTGGCTTTTATTTAAACGGGGGGTAAATATTGGCCGAGATATTTATATTAGAAAAATTGTGCCGTAATGTGATGCGAAACAGCGCTGCTCGGAAGGGGCGTCAAAGAGTTTGTGACGTACTTTAGAATTTTAAGATTTCGAACAGTAATAGAAATTTATAACAAAATGTCAGATGCTTCCATTTTCTTCACAAAATGCACAATACTTTCACTTATCCGCCCCACTTACACTCAAAAACAATTGTTCTTGGTTTGGTGTTTTAAATTATTTGCTTCTTTAATTAGTAAGCTGCTGACAGTATCATATATTAGGCCACATAAAATAAATTCCTTGATTCTCATCACTAGACTTTGAAAATGTCGAAGAGCCGGGAGGTTTATATTTTATATTTATATAATTTATCATCAATAAATAAAAAAATAATTCCTAACATTTAATATTTCTGTGATTTCCAAATATCTTACTTAGCTACAATAAACACTGAATGTCAATCTATCATGCACTTATAACCAAAGTACATTTGGTAGTTTCTCTTAATACTTAGATGTTGCCCATTTACGCCACCCGTCACGTCATAGGCGTTCTAACATAACCCATTACTGATTACTACGCATATAGTGTGGCGCTGTCATGAGTGCTCAGCCCATGAATGGTTGCAGAAAAAAATAGTTTAAAAATGATGAAATACTAATACATTTTACTGTCAAACGACAAACACAAAAGGCACCTGATCTGGGGTTCCAGGAATAGTGCATCGCTGAGGAACGATTTGATCCGTATAATATTCGAAAAATCTTGATGATCGACGCTAATAGCTGGAACATAATGTCCGGAAATTTAGTCCAGCGCACCGAAAAAAGTTGCCAGACAAAGCGTCCGTTAGTTGAAAGCATTTATTTCAAGGCTTGTATATATGGTGGCAAGGTAAATCATAATTTCAGCACCCAAATTAAGATCTTGGCTAAGACTCTGCTGAATCCTATACCTTCCAATCCTCCAGTAAATCTTCACTACTCTTTATCTGTCCAGTGACTTCATTTACTCTTCTATTTACACCTGATGAAACGAAATACAAAGATACACAAGTGAAAATGATTTTCTTTATTACATTATACAGGGTGTATAAAAAAGGTAATCCAACTTTGACAGGTTATCGTGTGTTAATTATTACGCTTATATAGGTTATCAATCATTTATAGGTTTTCGTATTTATAGAGATCAGGCTTTTAGTTGTCAAATGACACCGTTATGGAATCATTGCGATAAAAAATGACCTGATTTAAAGCGGTCGGTTAAAATTGCATTTTTCCACTTTTATGATTTAAATGTTCTTCCAATTTTCGAACATTTGCCCAATGCTTGTTGCCTATTTTGGAAATTAAACGTACACATGACATTGCGAATTCAGTCTGCAAACTTCCATCAATTTCAATGCAATAGCGAGTAGAAATTTACCCAAAACTTGATGCTTAGTGCTTACTTACATATGCGTTGCGCCATCTTGATTCAAGCGACTGAAATTAATCCCAAATGAGAATAATTTCAATATTCATGCAGACGATATCGTTACATACAATTCCCGACGGTGAGAAAATGCCATTTCGAGCACCATTTCTAAATCGCGTCGTATCTGGTTATTTTTTATCGCAATGATACAAGAAAGGTATCATTCGACAGCTAAAGGTCTGATCTTTTACTGGTGTGAAAAAAGTAAATGGTTAAAAGTAATATTTAATTAATGATAACATGCCAAAGTTGATTACCTTTTTATACACCCTTTATATGTCCATGTTACATACTATTACTTTTTCCATCATTAATTATGCTTGGCCATCAACTTTATAACAGGAGGTGTGTACAAATGCGAAATGTAATATTTATTAACTTTGCCCGCATAAAATTACAATAACAAAACAGTGTGGCTGGGTCACCGCAACAGCTTATTGCCAATTACTGCGGGCCCAATTAGTTACAATCAAACAAACAACAGACATTCAACTGGACAGACTAACAAACCTACGAACAAACAATATTAGTTTCTAAAAGCAGCAGGATATCGGATATGTAAGACTTCGTACAGAGTTACATTTCGGGCATATAGTTTTAAATTTTCGAGGATTATCAGGATTATAATTAACTTTTAAAGATTTGTGATAGTATTCCAGTAAGGCTGATCTAAAGGAATTGAAGCAGTTCGTGTCATAATTTAGTTCATCTGCGAGAGTGTTCCATATTCGACATGTTTTGACAAAAAACGACTGCTGGCAGGTACTGCTTTTACATTTGCGGACAAGATATTTAGCGTTATTATTGATGATGATCATGATCGTGTCGTTCTTTGCGTAACATGAATGTCAGGAAGAGCAGACATTTCTATCAAACCGTGTGTGATTTTGAAGAAGAGGATCAGGTCTAGGTATTCGACTACCCTGTGTGTAAGTTCAATTCATGAAACTCACATCCCGTTGCTTAACTAGCTACGTCTTGGTTTAAAGAGCCATATCACGTGACAAGCAATGGCAAGCAAATGACACCGTGCTTGTTTGAAACATTACACAGCCTTGTGTGCTTCAACGTTTTCGAAAGTCTGTGATAACAGTTGGGAGCAAATGGTGCGAACAAATGGTGCGAACAAAACATCGAATTAGCTTGTTATAGAATAGCATTGCTACCAGTTTCCTTCATTGTGTTACACAGTAACTAGCTGCTCATCTTCATCACAGAATAAAGACACACAGAAGATCGACTCGAGTAACCGCTGCCACGCCATGATTCATCACCAAAATGCTGACGCCGTGGTCCTAGCCAGTGCGCGTTTGAGAGGTCCCCCCTGGACGTCCGCAATTTTGAATATTATCAGGGGGGTGAATGCCTCTCAAACGCGCACTGGCTAGGACCATGGCGTCAGCATTTTGATGACGAATTACGGTTATGCCAAAATCATTGGAAAATCCAAGAAGTCGGGCTTCTGTGTAGTCTATTCTGTGTCTTCCTCTTAACAAAACTAAGCAACCCGATTGTACAACCTACTAACTGAGCTGTAAGGTCAAGTTGGTTCGAGTATAGGTGATATTTCGGAACTTAATCTAGCCGACACTTCGATATATGAATACTGGATGTCTAAAAAAGGCAATGGAAATTCGACAGGCTGTCGTGCATCATAAACGTGGCTAAACAATTCAATTTTTACATAGGACGAAAGAACAGCTACTTAGCTTTTCAACGATACTCTTTTTAAATCGTAACGATGAGAAATGGTCACATACTCGTTAAATAAAAATTGCCGGCCGAAATCATATTCTTCCATCATAAACTTAGCTAAACAATTCAAGTTTTACATAGGACGAAAGAGCTGTTATTAGCTTTTCTATGATTTATGTTTTAAATCGGAATGATAAGAAATGGTCACATACTCGTCAAATAAAATTGCCGGTCGAAATCAATTCTTCCACCGTTGGGAATTGAAAATACATTAATTATGCAAAGTTAATCAATCCAAAAGCAACGCGAGTCTGCTGCAAGCTATTTGTTTCGTAAAACGTTTGGATAACGAATGTTCTCTGTTCAGTGGTTAATTGAACTATGTTTAACGTCGTTCTATTTACTCACTAAGACGAAGATTGACGAGTTGAGCTCATTGGAATTGTCTATGTTTCGTTTTCCATGTAATTCCCCAACGGTGCACGACAGCCTGTTGAATTTCCATTGCGTTTTGTTTTTAGACACCCTGTATGTCGTATCTTACACATAATTTTAAGCCAAAGGTCGCGGGTTCGTTTCTCCATGCGGTCAAGCAATTTTTCAGCGTGCCCGGTGTGGAGACACTCAACCAGAGTTCAACACCACCATCAGCAGATGTCAAAGGGAGGATTTGTTCATTTGTCGTGTTGGTATAGAGCGTTGGACAGGCAAGCCAAAGGTGACGGGTTCGATTCCCACAGAGGTCCACAATTTTTTTAATTTTCCCGGTGTGGATATGCTCGGAGTAAAATAAAAAAGAACTCTTACTTTTTAATCTTTCCATGATTGTTTTATGTCTCCCATCAAGTGAAGCTAATTCTTCTTTCTTTGAAGATAATTGCTCTTCGTCTCCTTCAAATGCCATTTCATCCAATTCCTGATTTGAAAAAAAATTGAGAATAGTTACCAAGACCTTTTAAAAAATCGCCTCGTTTTAAAATTCTGAAATATTTCCGAATAAAGATCTGCCATCGTATTTTACAACTAGAAGTAACCCAATGATATTACAACCAAAAGAGAAGTTTTAAGAGTCACATGAACATATTTCATCCCACTTACCGTAGATCCTCTATTTAACTGGAGGCTTATTTGTTCCAGTGGCTCTGGGCTGGGAGCTTATTCCAAGGGGCGGGGGGGGGGGGGCTAAATAGAGGCTGGGGTCTACATAAATTTTCATGTTCTTTTAAAAAATAACAATTCACAGAATCATCTTTAGGCAAACGTTTTGAAAAAAGTTTATACATTTAATTTCACACCATATTTTACTACAACTTTATATTAAGAATGGTTTAATTAACAGGGGATGAGGGAGAAATAGAGGGTGGAGATTCTGGACAGGGGGATAATTAGGGTGTGTGTGTGGCTAAACAGATAAAATAGGCAAGCTTCCCGGCCAATTGGCCACATATGAAGAGGCCCTTAAAAACTGTGAAATCAAAACTATACTCACCTGTAGAAGTTTGTCACGATGTTTCATGAGATTGTTTGTCAGAAGATTTTCTAACTGGTTTTTCTCCGGTTCAAGCTTAAAAATAAATTATTATTATTATTATTATTATTATTATTATTGTTAAAATTAATGGTTTCTCCCAAAAGGGTTTTTCAGAACCCATTTACAAAATTATTTTATAAAACTACAATTTTAAAATATTTACAGTTTCTACAAAGTTAGGAATAAAAATGACTGATATCTAAGTTTTTAATAGTCTAAAATAGGAAGTAGTCTATAGTCTAAGTAGACAATAAGTGTTCTTTAAGTTGACTTTTAAATGTCTTAAGTGATGTACATTTCTTTAGCTCAGTGTCTAAGTTATTCCAAATTGAAGCTCCTCTAAAAGCAAATGACCGTTGCCCTGACGCTGTTTTAAACAATGGTATCTGTATCGAGTTGCAGTTCCGCGTAGACCGATTATGAATACAAGATCGTTTCTCAAACATGTCACAAAGATATTTCGGCGCTAAGTTGTTCACGCATTTAAAAGTCATTACGGCATCACGGAAATAGAGTAATTTGTCAACTGTGAGCCACTCAAGATTTTGGAGTAATGGGCTTACATGATCGTATTTCTTGGATCCTGTGATTATTTTACATGCAAAGTTTTGAATAGATTGAAGTTTCTTTATATTAGTGCATGTTGTATTTGACCATACAGTGGAACAGTAAAGCAGTTTACTGATCACTAATGAAGTGATTATCATTGTAAGTGTTCCCTTGTCAAAATTATTTTTAACTCTGTTTATCTGGCACAGTTTATAAAGGCAGGACGACACTAGATTCGATATGTGCTTATCGTAACTTAGGTGACTGTCCATTAGAAGTCCTAGATCTTTGGCAAAATCAACAGGTTCTAGAATCTTCCCCATAAAAGAGATCGAAATATTGACATCAAGTTCGTTCATCAGCTGCCTGGTTCCAATGATCATGATTTTGTTTTATCTGGATTCACCAAAAATTGTTTTCACAGCACCAAGACGCAATTTTATGTAGGTCTTCTTCCAGATTTTTAATTCCAGTGTCAGCTTCCGTTAAAGGAAACGATAACAAAGTTTTCGTATCATCAACGTATGATTCAAGATCCCATTGTAAGATGCACAGGGTAGTCGTTAAGGTATATACAAAAGAGCAATGGCGATAAAATGGCCCCTTGAGGTACACCATAAGTTATCGGTAATGGATCTGATAACGAGAGTTAATACGGGTTGATTGGAAACGGTCTGTTAAGTAGCTTCTAACCAGTTTACTGTTGATTTGGATGCTCCGACATTTGATAGTTTATGAAGTAGTCTCTGATGGTTTATACTGTCAAATGCTTTTGAGAGATCAAGCAACACTAAGCTGAGAGTTTCTTTTTATCCATGGCCTTTAAGATGGTGTCAGTGATAAAAACGTTTAATGTCTCTGTCGAGTAAGTTTTTTATTTCCACTTTGGTGGGAGGATAGTCGGTTGTTGCTTGTTAGGTAACAGCTAAATTGCTCAAGAGCTAATCTTTCACAGACTTTAGATGCGACTACAAGAAGGGAAACTGGTCGATTATTTGAGGGTACTTCGTGGTCACCTTCTTTATGAATAGGAATAAGTTCTGCCTTTTTCCATGCCAGAGGAAAAGTAGAAGTACGGAGGGAACAATTTATAATTTCCGTTAAAGGACCCAAAATGACCGGAAGACAGTCTTTTATGATCCGTGGGTTAATCTTATCCGGACCAGATGATTTATTGAGAGGTAACGATAAAACTACTCGACGTACTTCGTGGCAAGTTACGGCTCTAAACTTAAATTGGTCGATTTCAGTTATAACGACTGATTCGATTGATTCTCGTAGATTGATGTTGTTAGTATCTGCTAGATGAGAAGACGCCCTTGCTGCATTTTCACCAACCGATGAAAAAAACTGATTGAAATCATTTGCAAGAGATTTATGGTCTCCTTTATAGATTTGTCTTTCTTTTCCTTTTGATGGTATAAGACGGTTTACTATTTTCCATAGAGACCCCGGATTATCTTTATGTTGCCGTACTTCATTAGAGTTATACTCATTCTCCGCCTTCTTAAGATCTCTCTTCACATTATTGCGGTAGCTCTTATAATTGACCCAGTCTATAATATCCCGCGTACGTAGAAATCGTTGATGTAATCGATCTCTCTCTTTCGTAAGGTTTCTGAGGTCTTGGGTAATAAATGGGCATGGTCGGTTACGGATGTTAATTGTTTTAATTGGAGCATGAACGTCTAGTGTAGACTGGATCGCATAGTTAAGAATGTTTAGTTTAGCATTTACATCGTCGCCGTCAAAAATAGATAGGAGACAATCTGATTTGTCCGCAAGATCAGCTGCAAAATAATTCGGTACATAATTTTTAAAGCTTCGTGCTGTAATGTATTGCGAAGGTTGCTTAGGAGACTTAATCTTAAGTTCAGCATACACAAGTAGATGGTCACTGATTGATGTAAGCAATACTCCACTTCGGTACACTATTGACTTCGACGACACTAGGATAACATCTAGCAATGATTGAGTTGCATCAGTGATCCTCGTTGGCGATTTAATAAGTTGAGTGAGGTTCATTTCATTTAAAAATCTATCCATAATTTTATATTCTACACAATTATCCTTTAATCCATCACAATTTAGATCACCTAGGATCACGATTGATTTGTTTAATACAAGAGCTTCCATGAAATTTGGTTTTAATGTATGTTCAAAGCAGTGCAGAGGACAGTCAGGTGGTCGGTAGGCTACACAAATTATGAGCGACTTAAATTTCTGGCACTGGACATTTATCCATAGTTGATGGAAATTTTCTTCGGAAATGAAAGTTAAGGATTTTAAAACAGATGATTTAAGTTCTTTGCGAACGTACGTGCATACACCACCGCCGCGTTTATTTAGACGATCCAATCTGAAAAGATTATATCCGTCTATCCTTACTTCGGCAGACGAAACACTGGTGTTTAGCCATGTTTCAGATATTGTTAAAATGTCAAAATTTTCTCTACGCGCCAAATCTCTGAGTTGGGTAAGATGTGTATTGCTTTTAAGTGAGCGGATATTTAGATGAGCGATTTTGAGCCTAGTATTTTGAAAATTGTTTCCTATTTTTAAAGTTGATGTTGAAGACATTACAGACTTTGTAATACAGGCATTAGGTTTGTGTATGACAATATTTTTCATATTTCGTATGTCAGAGCCACAAGGTCTATGGTGATTTTGGTAAGTTGTAAAAAATGGTTGGGATTTGCGTGCAGTAATTCGTGTAGGAATAGACATAGTCGTCACGTTTCCTACCTCTTGCACAGTTGGTATACAATGTCCAAATGGCTCAGCCATTCGAGGGATTGGTGGCGATGGCCCGTTCGATAGGATGGTGGTTTCGTTCGATGGCGCTTGGGAAAAGGAAGCTTGTTCGAGGTATTTCTATTAATATGTTGGTTATTTTTCGCTTGGATAGGTATCTCTATTAACGGTAGGGAACCAATCCAATCCGATATTGGTTGCTTTTCGGGCATATTTGCAATTTGATTGATTTGTAGTGCCTTGTTTTGTAAGTCCCTATTAGTATCGTAAAACGGCACACTTTCAGGGTCCCCATTATTTACAGGAACAGAGATGAAAGGTTGTAAACTGACGTTTTGAGATTTGCATTGATTTAACCCACTGTTGTTATGATGACCATTGTTTCGGTGACCATTTCTGTTGTTTTTGTTCATAAGTGTGTTTTTATTAATCTTACTATTGTTATTATTCATTGGAGCAGCAAATGGAGATACACTTTGTTTGTAATTACTTTGCTCAGGGATTTGAGGTTTGGAAATTCTCTGCTGATCAATGTCAATGAATAATTTTAGGGAGGCATTAGATTTATCATGCTCAATTATTTTATTCTCTAGGGAAACAATAGTCTGATTCAACTTTTCAATTTCAAGGGATCGTTCTTTCACAAACAAACTCAACTCAGATTCAAGCTTTTCAGATCTCGCCTTCTCAATCGATAGTTCACTTCGAAGACGATCAATTTCTTTATCTTTGTGAGAATATTCAGTATTAGCATTTGCAATCGAATCGATTCTGTTAGATAGGATAGTAATATCTAATTTAACTCCCTCAACGTCAGCAGCTAGAACGCCACACGAACAGCGACAGTTCGACAAATAGTTGGAATTATCTCCTATAATGTCTAGACATACCTGTGATGCAACATCAACTTGGTTGGCCGGTCTCGATATAGATGTAGGCTCAGATTCCAAAATATTTGGAGCAATGAGATCCCGCTGTAACTCTGAATTTTTCGACAGGGCTTGCACTTGTTTACAACTCGACTTCATAACACCGTCCCGTGTCTGACAGAATTTGACACATCCATCCCGAATTAGGTTGCCATCTTTGCCTTGAAATAATAAAGTGTTTTGCTTGCCTGAATACCACGTCAAAGTTAGTTCCGCATTGGAGCTTGTGAACCTTTCAGACCCACCTCCAGGAGAACACCATTTCCCGTTTAGGTCAAGCACTTCGGCAACAAACGCCTGAGAGTCTAAGTCATTGCACCATTTCAAACGTGTGCCCTCGTAAATAAGATCGTTGCTTAAAGCATTACCAAGAAAATCAATACCGATAGTTGATGAATTAACTATTTCTTTACGAGATTTATCAAATAATGGTGCAATAATATCGGAGATCGCCATAACACGTCTGGCCGCCATGATATTATAATATACAATCGATGAGCTATTTAGGGATTATATTTGCTACTAAATTCCCCAAAATAATTAGAACTACAACTGCTGTTTTCAGAGGTTTTGTTCCATTTTGTCTATATTAATTTAATGTACTATTTTTAATATGTATCGACTAATGTTTACGAATACGTAAGTTAATTATTAAGCAGCTCTTAGCGTGCGTGTACATGTGAAATGAATGTTTATAATGATTATCCATATAAGGAGTTTTTATTTTTAGTTTACCAGCCCTTACATTTGAATGTGTGTTAAAACTGCAAGGTTTAGATTGTGACTAAAACACACCACGAGTACATAACGAGTAACATACGAGTAACACACAAGTACATACGAGTACATACGTGTAATATACGAGTAACACGAGTAACATACAAGTACACACGAGTAACATACGAGTACATACGAGTAACACGAGTAACATACAAATACACACGAGTAACATACGAGTACATACGAGTAACATACGAGTAAATACGAGTACATACGAGTAAAATACGAGTACATACAAGTAAAATACGAGAATTAGCACGCTTTCTTTAAAGTTTGTTTCACTTTCACACTTTCACTTTGGCTTCGTATTATGTTCATGTTGTAAATGCCTTATTGACATAGGCGTACGAGACAGGGGGCGGGGGGGGTGGCAATGCCCCCCAAAATTTTGCAAAACCATGGAAATTCGGGCAAACGCTAGGAAAAATCATGAAAATTCGGGCAGATTTATGAGAAAATATGTTAAAATCAGGTTATTTCTTTACAATCCATAAAAATTCGGGCAAACTTTCAACCCCCCCCCCCCCAGAAAACATCAGCCCCGTTCTCCTATGCGTATTGATGGATTTCAAAGCCTCGCACGACGTAGAAAAAGTAATTCATTAATATAGAATAAAGATTTGTATGTTCTAAGACTCTAAAAAGGTTTAAATGTGTAGTATATTGCTCACAGGCTGTCAGAGAGTTTTTGTAGTACATGAAAGTGCATGTTTGCCATGTTGTTTATACGTCTGTAGTCTATGTGTTTTGCAAATTTAATACGTGAATTGTACACCGGGAAATATAAAATACTTAGGGTTCATTATTTATCGGTTGGGGAGGGGGGAAGGAGCTGTTGGATTCTAAAATTCAAACAACATAATAAAAATGACCCTCCCTTTTAATGTGTTTAAAAATGTAGTCCACCCCTTTAGAACAGTCTGAAAATTTTTCACCCCCCTCCAACATTAAAGTTAAGAAGAACATAGTATGGCCGCATGGTAGTTCTTCCCATCCTATTCTTTTGTGTGCTCTTTACAACCAAGGGCGTAGAGAGGACCTTCAACTTGGGGATGCTGGACAGGATTTAGACAACAGGGAGGGGGGTGAAATAAAAATCCAAATCCGCAATATAATTGTGTATAACCTTGTCTAAGTAAGTAGATATGGCCCCAAGAAAAAGGGTTTACTTTGGGTTTTTAAATGTAAAATAAATTTACTTTCAATCATCATTCGGTTTTAAAAGTAATTCGCATTGTTTTAACCTATCATTTTCCATCACGAAAAATCATGTCTTTCATGCATTATACAGTCTTCGGACTTATGCAAACTCACACCCCGAAAATGCAGGAAATCGCATTTCAGGGACCCTAGATTTCAAAATATTCTGAGGAAGCACGCCCACAGACGTCCCCTAAAATGGCTCACGCCTTTTACGCTGGCTACGCCACTATCTCTATACTATCTTCTTTATATCAATGCTATAAAATTTTATTGTCTCCCCAAAACACTTCTTCAAAAGATTTAAACCACTCTTTTACACCCATAAAATATATCCCCCCTCCGCCCCCCCCCCCCTCCCCCTTGTTATTAAAACCTTTGAATTTAAGGACACACAAAATTGTTAAATAATTGTTTTCAATATTTCAATTTATTGGCATCAATTACAAACGAGACAATGGCCTGCCAGGCCCAGTTGTTGGGTCAACATGTATAAACAGGATCATAATATAACAGCTCAATGCAACTGGAGATTGTATGCACACGAGCATTGCATATTTTCCCGGGGCCGTGCTGGGGCCAACTGCCAAGCCCAGGAGCCCTAGATGCGCGAGGTCCCTAAATTCGCGAGGCACCTAAAATGGGCGTGTCCCAATAGAAAATGGTCGTGTTCTCGTAAAAATGGGCGTGGCACAGTAAAGCGCATACACTATTGATAAACGTTAAACCAATCACAGCACAGGAAAAATTCAACTTCCCCAGAGCCAATGCCTTACTTGCCTGCGCTCAGGCATTGCTCTGGGAACGTGATTGCGAGGCCCGCGGAATTTGCCGCATCTGACACGTGTGTAATCCTGCGTTAAACGAGCAACAAGCTGCCATTTTCTTTAAACGCGACGTGTGGAGTGACAATAATAATTTCTGGTGTCGCACTGGGCTAGCGTTTGACTTGCAAGACGTCAAAAGGGGTCACTGGTCACTGGTCACTTGTCGGTAGTTCTTGTGGTTTTAATGCCAATTGCCAAAGATCTAAAGAGAGCACCGATGACTCCCCCCGTCGGAGAATTACTGGCGCAACCCAGGCCAGCTCAGTGAAATATGGGAGCCCAGGGCAAATTATACCTTTGGGGCCCCGAATACCTAATCAGTCTTTCAAGAGTGATGTACATTCAGAAAAGCTTAAGGTCAGATCAAATTTACTCCCTTGTAATGTAGTGCATGATTTCGAGCACGGTTGTCAATGTAGGCTGCTGGCAGCAGACCTTGAAGAGGTTAAGCTTGATATGGTGATCATGCAAAGAAATATGGAGTCTAAGATTTTTGCAATCGAAAAGTCGCGGGAGAGCGAAGAAATTAACCAACTTAAAAAGGAACTATCTAATGAAAGGGAAAAATGTAAAAACCTTGAAGCTGATATATCAATTTTAATCCGAGGAAGAAATAGAGAAGTAAACGGATTAAATAACACCATTGTCTCTCTTGAAAATAGACTTAAGTCAAGTGAGGCGATGAATGAATCTTTGAGACAATCGATTATGCAAATGAAAAATCACGCTATAATTGATGAAACAAGCATAACATCAATAGTCCATAGCATTGATAATCCCCTTGGGAGCTCAAGTTTCTCTGGTGTATTTAATTCGGACGATCAGCCAGATGACCTTCCGTTATGCATTAAAAATTTCACTACAATTGATGAAGCCAGCATAACACCAGAGGCTCACTGTATTAATAACACCCTTGGGAGCCAGTCAGACGACTTTCTGTCAGGCTTTGAAAATTTCACTGTAGCTGATCGGGTTAACATAGCCATTGACCAGACGGATAGTTCGCTGAATACATCCTCATCGTTCAAGAAACAGCTAAAGAAATACCGAGAGAAACAGTCTCTTGCGCTTCCCAATAGATCACACAATTGGATGAAACCTGTCCCTACAAACCCCCAAACAACAGAATTAAATACTTTCAATACAAACAAGAGAAACCAGCATTTATCAAGGAATACAGTCCGTAGTCGCAAAAACTTCAAAAGTAAACAAACCAAACCGAAGCGGAATTTTCGGAAGAAACTGTCTCTAGATCGACCTCCGGACTGGGAGAATTACCTAGACCTAGTCAGCAAAATTACGAGAACATAATTAATGCGGCTAACACGAACTTAAATGGTTCCAAATTGTATGTCTCAGTCAGCTTGTCGTAGTAATAAAATTCCTGTGAGAATTACAAGACGAAAAAAACATGCTCGTATGATACCTCATCAGCGTGATCGTTTTCTGAAATTTGTACAAATCGATAAAACAGCTTTAAATTTGCCACGTATAATTCCGCGTTGTCTAGTGTTAAACGCTAGATCCCTAGTAAAACCTGATGCCCTTCCCGCTTTGTATGCGGATCTGAAGTGTAATGACATTGACATATGCTGTATCTCTGAAACATGGCTGAAACCAATTATACCTGATCATCTTGTCTGTCCCGCTGGCTTTTCTATCATAAGAAAAGACAGAACAAACTGTCGAGGGGGCGGTGTGGCGACTATTTGTAGAAATGATTGGAAAATGCAGATAATGCCAAACTCGGACAATTTGTTTGAATGCCTATGGACAAAAATTGACACACAAAACTCGAATGTCTATGTTGGAACTATATACCACCCTCCTGATCACGATTATAATAAGAATGACCTAATTGAATATTTGATAGACACATGCGAACAAATACTGTCTGTTAAACCAAACTCCAGAATAATCATTGCGGGTGATATCAATAAATTAAATATTCGAAATCTGCTCAATCAGCTGTCGCTCATCCAACTTGTTAAAGTTCCCACAAGGGGTCAAAATATACTTGATGTCTTCATTACGAACGTTCCTCACGATTGGAAAAAAGTTAAAGTAGTGAAAAGCTTAGTAAAATCTGATCATGATATGGTAATAACCTATCCCCGAGATGTAATTAAAGCAGAAAGAAAAAATTCCTATTTTAGAGATGTAAGACAACATAAGAAAATAAATATGTTATATGAATTAGGAACTGTAGACTGGAATATGATAACCAAGGATGGGCAAACTCCAGATGAAATGACGCTGAAATTTTATGAAACGATGTGGCCGATATTTGAAAAGTGCTTCCCACTAATTAAGGTTAGAACCTCTTCACGTGACCCACCGTTTATGTCACCCCTTGTAAAGCATTTGCTAAAGCAAAGGAAAAGAGCTATACAGAAGAGCGATTCCGAATCTCACGCTCGTTTACAAGACCAGATAAACAAGCTAATTCGAGAGAACCAGTTAAATGCCGTCAAACAAGAGAACAAAAATCAGAAAACCGGATCAAAACAGTGGTGGTCCAATGTGAACAGTATTACAGGAAGAAATAATCGGAGTCGATCTGTCAGTGCAGCCTTTGATCCTAGTGAGATAAATGTATACTTTCAAAGTATAAACTCGGATCCTCAGTACGCGGCCCCAGAACCTGTCGAGATCCCTGATGGCACCAGGGTTCCTTCGCTCTCTATAAATACTACTCTACACCTTTTACAAAATCTAAAACGAACAGCATCCGGGCCAGATGATCTACCTTACTGGTTTTGGAAGGAATTTGCATTTGAGCTTGCTCCTACCATAACAAATATATTTAACACTTCATTGAAACTTAGCAAAGTTCCTAAAATGTGGAAACATGCAAATGTACTACCAGTACCTAAAGAATCTATCTTAAACTCTCTTAATCAACTAAGACCAATCTCTTTAACAGATATTATAATGAGATTATTTGAAAGAAGTGTGTTCAAAACTGAGATAGCACATGTTACAAGACACGCTATTGATTCAGATCAGTTTGCATACAAGGAAGGTCACAATTCGATTATGGCTCTGATCAAGTGCCAACACACATGGTTAAGATGGTTAGAAGGAGATGCAAAATATGTCAGAGTATTATCTTTTGACTTTCGCAAAGCATTCGATAGCGTTCCACACGATATTTTATGTGAGAAGCTTAAGAAGCTCCCCATCGACCCATATGTTACCAATTGGCTGATTAGTTTTTTGGAGGATAGGAAACAGAGGGTAGTGGTTGATGGAATAGAAACTGAATACGTGAACATTAATCGAGGTGTTCCCCAAGGAACAGTTCTGGGTCCTGTCCTCTTTTCGATTATGGTGAATGATATCAAAACAGTTAACCCCATAAACCAGTTAGTTAAGTTCGCGGATGACATGACATTAGAAGTACCAGGGAATGAAAACGGAGATACTTCCCAAGCCGAAGTGGACAGTATACAAACATGGTCTGAAAATAATCGAATGTCCTTAAATATGGAAAAGACGTATGAAATGATTGTTAGGAGAAATATCCCTACGCTGTTGCCTGATCCTTTTCCATTTATTAAACGAAGGACGTGGTTAAAGATTTTAGGAATCACATTACAGGATCTCCCTTCCAAGTGGGATTTGCATTTTGATGAAATGTTGAAAAAAGCCAGTGCAAGAATGTACATAATGCGTGTCTGTAAATACTATGGCTTCCCAATCAAACAACTGGACATGCTGTTTAGCACTTTAATTATGCCTATAATCACTTACGGCATAGAACTTTGGGGAGGCGCATACTTCAATAAATACATTAGTCAAATAGACAAATTCATCAATCGCGCTCACAGAAATGGTTACATATCGGAAAAATTGAATATTAAGGAGATAAGCATCAAAAGGGACAAGAAACTTTGGGATAAAGTAATACATAATAAAGACAATGCACTACAGGAGCTTTTACCAGATAAATTAAATAGACACCTTAGGCCAAGGGGACACGAGTTTGAACTTCCATTAGTGAGAACAGAGCGATTTAAAAGTTCTTTTGTAAATCGATGTTTGTTTAACTTTGTTTAACCAATTTTAACCTTTACCTTTTTAACATTATTAATATTTTTATCCATAACTGTATATATCTAGTTATTACCTTATAGATATCAATAATTTTATCTTATATATTTTTATAATGTAAACTCACAGACGGGTGTTCTTGAGTATGAATAAAGACTGTTATTATTATTATTATTATTATTAATAAGTGGCATTTATCGTGCAGAGAAGCGGCAAGCCATTGCAATGGCGCCGTATTTCAGTATTTCGCGAAATATCAATGACATAATATCGAAGATAAAATACACTGCACTGTTTCAAAACCTGATGAAACCTTTAAAATCTTCTTCAACCATTTATGATTATGTAAAAGTGCAACAACTGGATAATATTTGCCAGATTCGGCGATAAAAAGCAAACAATACAGCAAAATGCCAAAATATAGCTGAAATCGTGTTTTTCCTTTTCTTTTTTGTATTATGTTTAAAGAAAACAATGACAATCCTTATGACAATCTTTTAGGAAATAGGAATATTTAATTCTTGCCAGGCATATTAGTTATTTTATGCATAATTATTAGCAATTTATCTGGGGTTGTGCATGGTCATTTTCTTGTGAAATATTATACTTTAATAAGCAAATTTTTCCTTCCTAACCTGAAATGTCAGGTTCAAGCAGGGAGAACATCTGACATTTCAGGCTACTGACCACCCCTAAAAGCAACCCTTCTTATCAACACTATAAGCACTTCAGAAAGGCTATCGCTTTTCCTTTTCTGAAGTTACAGTGTGTGGACACAGCCATTTCAGGGCGAGATCATTTTCAGGATTTTTCTCCCGGATTCAGATTTTGGCACATATGCCATGTTGACGTGTGCTAAATGAAACACATACAAACTCATACACAGATCTATAGTAAAACCTCGAATTCCGAGCTCAAATCCGAGCTCGATTCCGAGCTCGAATCCGAGCTCGATTCCGAGCTCGATTCCGAGCTCGATTCCGAGCTCGATTCCGAGATCGATTCCGAGCTCGATTCCGAGCTCGAATCCGAGCTTGATTCCGAGCTCGAATCCGAGCTCGAATCCGAGGCTCGCTATATAGTATATCTCATGTACAACGATTTCGCAATGTTCACATTCGTTCCGAGTAGAACACGATATTGAACCGATTATCAATACGGAAAACCTCCGAATATGCGCCGATATTGGACCGATGATCTGATTTCCGCCTATTTCCGATATCAGTATTAGCCAATCAGAAGCCGGACTAGATTCCTGTCTTTAGCCGCAAGTTTGCTTTGATGTGGTCGCCATCTTGAATTCGATCAGAATAAATTATCCAAAAAATAATTTATGAAATGTCAAATGTGTCCAATAAATTATAATAATTATTTACCATGTTTATTTATTGTTGGATTAGGCGATATAGTTAAGTTTTATAATATTATAGCGTTTTTTTCACCATTTTTTGACCAGTTATTTCTTGTAACTTTGTTGGTAATTATGGTAAAGCTTTTAATGAAACTTGTGGTGACATTTAGCGTTTAGCGTGAGATTCAAGCATGAAAGCGTGAGACCGTGAGATTGTGGTCAAAAGCGTGAGTCTCACGCTAAAAGCGTGAGACTTGGCATGTCTGGTTTTGAGCGCTATACTGGCCAACACTCTTCGCAATCATACAAGATAAGTCTACACTATCAGATAAAAACATATCGAGCGACTGGGAAAGCAAGGAATGGCGCAATTTAGAATACAGGTAATTGATCATAAAATATTGCATTAGTATTTGTCTTGTTACACTCGAATTTGTGCGTTTATTTAACACGGAGTAGGATATATACTATGAGAAATAGTGTTACAAAAAAATTACATACTTGGTAATTAAAACTTTCCTCCCTTTTTTTCGATTCAAATGCACTACGCGTGGCAATACTCGGTATTGTTTATAGTAATGAAATTGTGTTTACCCAGCCAATGACGTCAGATAATGTATTTTGAGGCATAAATAAGCATACGTGCTTATTTTCAAAATGGCGGACAACTGTTGCACTTTCTATCAAATTTTCTCAATAACTAAACGCGACAAACCGGCCAAAACATAAAATTAAATATTCCGCAAGTATACCTAATAGATATAAGTAATAAAAATTTTGGGTGCCAATGTCCTTTAATTGAAATAGCTGTATATATTGAACTGTTCAACCATTATTTGCGCTTTACTGTATATAACAGTTTTAACGTCGTATTTTTAGGTTTTATGTAGCAGTTCATGTATTTAAATGTTTCTTCTTTCAAATTATGGCAGTTTTAGTAACACACGAGTTGTTGCTATGTCAACACACGCGTACTAAATTCACTTTAAAATAGCTTATTGCTTTTTGTTCTTGGAAAACCGAACCCGAACTTTCTTGTGCACTAACAATAAACAAACTATAAAAAATCTGTATTTGTCATTTTTTTAAAATCCATTAAAATGTCGTTTTCTGCGATAAAATTTTTTTGGCATTACAGAATTTTTGTTATTTTTGGTATACTGAAAGGCTCACTTGCAGTACAATATAGCGTGCAAAATATCAGCATATAGGCGACAGGACGACATAATGAGATGTTAGCATAAGAGTTTTTTTAAAAACTGGCATTTCTAATGGTTACATGAGGGAAAACGGACAACGAGATATATACATGGGTGCAACGGAAGAGTTTGGCCATTAGAAAGCTTAGGCAAGCGACGTTAAGGTTTTTTACAACAAAAGCGTCACTCATCCATGGGTACATAAATTAACCGTTAATAATGGGGTCAGCAGTTCTTTATGTTAACAAAGGAGTCAATGTAGCATACTTTCACTTTCTCCAACAGTTCAAAATGAGCTGCGGTCACCATCGATTGTCGTCGGCGTTTGCGTGAATAACGTTCCTTGCCTATATGCTATTTATTATCAGTATATAAAGCCAAACCATATATATATATGTCCGCAAGACTGTATATATCAATAATTAAAAATGCGCATACACACCAGTAAACCCGCTTGGGCCCTTCCATGGCTTTTTTCGACCTTTTGAATCGCATTTTCCCATTGACTAGTCTTTCTCTGTAATTCAATACTATTTTCGAACCTGTATTCTGCCATGTCGCCTATCTGTCTCGCATTCAAGCCAGAAAGAGACAACAATAACAGATTTATGTCTGACGGTAGCGAGTAATATCGTCTATCCCTTAAGAAGTTTGGAATATCTTCGTAGTGGACGAGTGGTCAAAACACACAGGAAAAACTTGAATAGCATTGTTGCTACCATTTGACATTTGACCAAGAATCATTTTAAGTACAAACCAAAACATGTTGGTATCTGAACCTATAGTAAAACATAGAAAAGAAATACATAGCATTCAGTATTTTTGCAAGCTTCAGGCAGCTTGTAAGCTTGGTTCTTCGCTAATGCCAATAAGCGAGTTTTCCATTTTTGTAGTGATATCTGGCTGATTCATCATATAGATAAAACCATCATTCGAGCATTATTATGCAACAACGCACCCGTTTAGCATACACCTCAACGGGTATTACCCGTATGTTCTCAATTGAGAATATTCGGTATTACCCGTGCCAGACTATCGCCTGCGCTACCTGACGCTGACGCTTTCGCATATCATTATATATAAACCAATCACAATCGTCTTTCTATCACACATGATTCTTCTCGAGCTTTGAGCTGCCATATTTGAAAACATTTCTAGCAGATTTTCTAGTCTATTTGCGATTCTGTGCAATGAAATGGAGATAGGAAAGAGAACTAGAATAAGCGACAACCAGAGAGATATTTTGGAAAGGTTTTACGGCCGTGGAATGGTCGGTGTTGGTCTAAATTATCGCGAAATAATCGAAAGCGTTTGAGCAGAAACTGGCTTAACAACGACTCAAGTTATAAAGGTAAATATAGATATCATAGTGATGTTAATGTTGACTATTTACTATTAAAGGCACTAGACGATATACTAATATAAACTAGTATCAGGCCTTGCTTGGATGAAAACCAAGATACTTGATCAATAGTGCAGCTACTGTGCATTCAAGGCACTATTTTCTATGCACCTATACTTAAGCGAGAGTCTACTTCATATATTTTTATTACATGCCTAGTTGACAATCTGAACTTACTGTAACATGCATGTTTCCCCATTGATGAGTGAAATTGTCTGGCGTTAGACAAGTAAAAAAAAGTAGGGGCACTGGGGCAAAATAAGTCTCAATGGGTTTAATGCACCTATCAATGTTAAGCCCAAGAGGGGGGGTGGGGGGGGGTGGTCGGGCATAGGTGGGACATTTGATTTTTTTAGCAAATTTCCAATCAAATGCCCCACCGTCGGGCAATAAATATTGGTGAAATGCCCCACCATCTTGCAATAAATTGCAATAAATACTATGTTAATAACAGTCATTCAGTTCAAATTGCCCCAACTTGGGGCCAAAATGCTAATGAAAATCCCCAGGGTGGGGATGGAATTGATAATCAAATACCCCACATATGCCCCATAGTGGAAAGTTCGTCTTCGCTTCCGCAGGAGACTACCGCTGCGGAAGACGTAGGCTTCCGCAAGCGCAGTTAAACTGAAGTCATCAAGGTACCGCAACTGTCACACTATACAGACTGGTTTCCAGTCGACCCTGCCCCGCTTTCTAGTGTCTATAAAACCTCTATGATGAGCTTAATGTGATGTCGTGATTTATATAAAGTGCGTCGCAGCGTCGGTTAACGCATCGTTTGATTAAAAATACAATTGAGACATTGACTGATATTCTCACCATGCAGGTTCATAAAATTAGACAGAAAAAAGACTATACATGGCAACGTTTGCAGACGTATCGTAAGTGACTATATACAGTATGGTTAATATATTAACCAGTTTTTTACACATTTTATAGTCTTGATAAGTACAGTACTATATGTACATTTCAAAGAATGTACGTGTAAGCGATCAACTACAAATAATTATATACAAAACGACATTATTTTAGTCTTTACAGAAGAAACGGTAAGCGAACTCCTTCGGTGGTCTTCTTAGTCATGACTTTACTCAAATCTTTTCCCGGGCCATAGGTAGCTCCGAGGGGCATTTCACTCCAAAAAAGCGTACGGGATTTTCGGATTTTTAAAAATCCGCGGATTTTTTAGCGGATTTTTCCCGGATTTTCCCGGATTTTTTAGCGGATTTTTGAAGAGAAAATTTGCTGGATTTTCCGGATTTGTTCGGATTTTCCGGATTTGTTCGGATTTTTTCTGGATTTTTGAAAATCTGTTGGATTTTCCGGATTTGTTTGGATTTTCCGGATTTTTTCTGGATTTTTTTTAATTATAGAGTTATAGAGCTAGGTAACGTTTTGAACAAATAATCTTAAGTTGTACGATGTCAACGTTATGCCAGGACGTCAGGGTCGAGCAGAGGACTGGGACTAGGACCACAGCCTTCTGAAACTATTAACGAAGGCTGTGCATGCAGTCAATTTGTATAAAATTCAAACAAGTTCATTATTCTTTCAAAAGCAGTAAAAGACAATGGTGAATAACTTTTGGTTTTGTAATTATATTTTACAACATAACGTCATTGTAACAAGAACACATATTTAGTAGTAATAGGCTAAAAAAACTTAGCGTATACTCGAGCGTATAAATGGAAATGTAGAGTGGTCCAATAATTACGAAATATAATGACAGCGATCACGGTAAGCATTTAGCTTTCGCTGTCCGCCATTTTGAACGTGGCAAAGAACCTTTACGAGTAAATTACACCAAGTACTTCATATATTTTTTTGTGGATTTGCGGATTTTTTAAGGATTTTGAAGGATTTCTGTGGATTTTTGAAGGATTTCTGTGGTTTTTAAAGGATTTTTTGGATTTTGATGGATTCAATGGATTTTGAGGATTTCATGGATTTTTTCTGGATTTTTTCCGGATTTTTTGACGAAGTGTACGGGATTTTTGGAGTGAATTGCCCCTCGGGTAGCTCTGTAGCTCAAGATTGGCCAGCGATGCTTGGGTAGATTGTGACTTTTGTCGCCATCATGATATAGTTGTGCAATTCCAGTTACAAGTTTATCAGCTTTAATTACGGTTGGCATTAACCAATCAATTTTTGTTCTAAATTTGGCAATAAGAACATTATTTTACTAATTTGACAAAAATTGGATATTTGACTAGATGGAACTAAATGTTGAGGAGTGGTATGGAGATGAAAATTACATACATCTTTAAACCTTATACTAAGAGCAGTTGCAACTGCTTATAGTTCGCACTCGAAATAACCGTTCAATGTTTAATTTGACAAAGAGCCTAATTAATGGCTAATTTCAAACGATTTGAACGGAAAAGGTTGAATGTATACATTTTGCAGCGGTGAAGGATTTTAGACAACGATCGCAATAGTAAATATACAATTTGAAAAAAATATGGCGAATACAGTATACCTCAAAGCTAAAGTGCTGTTGCTCTGGCCACCTTCCATGCTTTGACTTTTCATTACTGAGTATAATGATTCGACAATTGACTCAGTACTGCCAAGGGCAAGTGCAATATCTGTGGCAATGCTCATTTCCACGCCGATCATTTTAGATACTACCTCGTCGACATAAAATGATCTACAATAAAATACATACGTACCATTAAACAATAATACAAAACCAACTACTATATAAATATATATATATAAATATATATATATATATATTTATATATAATATATATATATATATATATATATATATATATATATATATATATATATATATATTATATATATATATATATATATATATATTATATATATATTATATATATAATTGACGTACCTGTACACTTCACTCTCATCGATCCAAACCACAAAAGTGTTTGTTTTCTGGTTATCCATGAGAAATGTCGCTTCATAAAGGTTTTGAAGATAGTACTTGTCCTGGAAATGAGATGATTGTTTTCGTTTAAACGTCATCAACTTCACCAGATGGTCTTGTTCAGTTGTCAACGAGTGCTCCTTTACCTTATTAAAGATTTAAGAAGACCAAAAATTAAAAGCCATGTCTTTGGTTTTCCAAAACAGCATTCAACAAAAACATACAATTGATAACAATGTGTAGTAACAATGTGTAGTTTGAGGACACGGAACGCGCGCACAGACTAGGATAGTTTATACAGCAAATATTAACACACCTGACCATTATTTGTCGTGGTAATAAACTTAAGCCATCGGGAAAGTATATGGACATGGTTGGGTGTCCACAGGATAATCTTCAAAGTGTTTTTTAAGTTAGTCAGGATCTCGTCGCTGTAGACACACTTTAGTTTCAATTCAGTAAAATGGTTCTCAGCTAGCTCCTTCACGTGTTGTAAGGAGCAAATATACTTGAAAAATTGTTTGAAATCTTTTCTACCAAATTCAACAAACTCTTCTTCTTTCAATAGAGATGGGTAGCCACTGACCTTTCGAACACCAACCAAGAGATTTACAATGCAATGAATATCTATGCAAGCAAGTATAGATTGCAAATTCGATGCGCATTTCTCGAAACGACTTGTCAAAGAGATGGACAAGTCCTTAGCAAGATTCCGAAGATCTCGTTCGACGTCATGGAGTTGTCGCATCTTCCATGTTAGAATTTCTGACCTTCTCCGGAGGAATTAGCTTCGATTCCGACTATCAACCAGCCGTCTACTAATTTTTGCCCATGAAAGGTTTTCTTCTTAATATCACTAATATTAGAGGCCAGATGGAAACAGCTTGCAGGGGGAAAATTTACACGTAGTTTCACCAATTCATCTAAGTCTGCCGTGACTTTGGGAACCCACACTGAGGCTTTCCAAATAGGAACACTGAGACCTTGTAACTGAACAAGAAAGGTAATCAATGGCAAGAAAACGTCAACGCACCCACACATATCTGCAACGAAATCCTGTCCACAGATCTCCCACGTCTTCAACTCGAATTTGGGATCATTTTTATGGAATTCCTCGTACGTTGCCATATACACATGAGCTGAAGAGATAAGTTTTCGAAACTCATGAATCTGCGACGTCGCGAAACGCGTTGCACAGGTGCGGCTTGTTAACTGAAGCTTGCAATTCATAGTCTCTGCTTGAGTTTTGGCCTGAGCCAAATTTTTTCGCCTTTGAAATATTTGGTGAATAGTTGCGCTTCTAGTGATTAGCCGTTTCAAAAATTCTTTTGAATGACCAATTTTCCCTTCAAGTACATCTTCTGCGGCTAGATTCACCCAATGAGGTGGATCCCATATTACATCTGTGAACGTGCATTGTGATTTTTCGAGAAGATCCCAAAGCTTATTAGCAAAACCTTTCGGCTGATATTGGCCGTCTAACACCGTCCCCTGCCAGAAAGTTCCTATTATGTTGATCATACCAGGATAAGCAGTTGTAATGGTCGTAAACATGCTCTCGGCTAATTCTGCGGCACAGGCACCAGTCACACCTCCTGAATCATCTTGGCCGTTGTCAAATGCGTGGTATACTGCTGGAGCCTGGACAAGAATTGCCGTCTTTATGCCATTCAACATGCTAGCAATAATTACTCCTTGATTAGTAATACGATGGATAGTTGACTTGTCTGCCAACCCACAGAAATGTGGTGGTAGTAATGTGTTTGAGAGAGGTGTAAGCAGATACTTTTCGATTTCTTTGTCGATATATACTTCAGCTGCTTTGAGAATCTCGTTGAATTGTTTGTAGCTATGTCCAATATCTCCCATATCTGAGCCGGTCGCAATGTGAGCTGCCACTTGCGTTTCAAAGTGGATTGCAGCAGACTTGGACTCAACAACAGACAGCGCCACTCTCACTAAATTCTTTGATACGTTTGAACCCCTTTTGGCCAATTTGTTATTTGAGTGCTCTGCCTTATAATAAAATTAACAACTATCACTGAAGGTACAACTGAAATTTGCTTACAAATCTCTAAGAAAAGCGGGGGAAAACCACCATCAGTATGTATATTTATCGACGACAGTAGTAATTATCAATTTCCTCATCTTAATTTAACTAATTTCATTTTTTTAAAAAAAACTTTCCTTAATATACAGTAGCTACTTTAAAGTTTATGTAATCTTACCTTAAGGGCTTCAAGGTGCGTTTTTGCATTGTCACCAGTGCAGTGTAGGTGGTTCTTTATCCGATTCTTCAAGCGGTACCAACAGTCATTTTTGCCTTCGATAATCTTACCAACATCTTCGGCACTTTCAAGGAATAAACCACTAGATATATTATTACCATATCTGCAAAAAGATATTTGAACCGTTGACCATGACCAATTAAAATATTAATTAAATCAATGATATATACCCATAAACCCAACACTTGATTCATATAACCATTGATGAAATTAATATTAATTCACAAAACTGGAAGTTTATATGACACTTTGATAATTAAAAAGTTAGAAACTGAATTGATATTATAATTATGATAGTTGTATTATCCAGCATAATAAAAATATATACAATTTGCAGTAGGCCTATATAATACAATCATGTGTAATATAACTTTACTTCTTTATATGTGATGCAACAGAATGCCCATCCTCTTCAATTCTAATCGGATCGTGTCTTTTCAAATGGTTGTCTCGTGAGGAAAGGTATTCAAAACACAGTTGACACCTGACACATCCTTTCTGGAAACTTTCCGCACCGGCAAAGAATCTGACACTCTTGATTTTTTCAGTCAATTGGATTATATTCTCTATCTTACTCCAGTTCACACAAGAAATGCTGCTTTGCATATATTTATCTGTGGTGAGTTCATTAACCAGAATTGACATATCAGATGCAGTACTTGTAGCCGAAGGAACTTTTTGCTGGTCAATTTTGGTGGATAAATCTTTCAATATAGAAACTACCACATCCATCTTTTCTTCTAGGTTACTATGGCCAATTGACAATGTTTTGTCTAAGCTTTGATGAGTTGGTGACAAAAGACCATCTTCACTTTGACTGGAATTAATTGTTTCCTTTGTGATTTCCAATTTTTTCAGGCAAATACTTTTGTAAGCATTTAAGGCTTCTGAAGCAAGTGGAGCAGTAGCATCAACAAATTGGACAAGATGTGTTTTTATCCCACTATGTGCTTTTGAAAGATGCCTTTCTTTTGTTTGCTTATCACTTCGACAAAGATAATAGTTATAAGGGGACATGGATTTATCAGCACTGAAAAAGAAGTTTGGTTTAATATTGCTAAAAACATGAAAGCAAGTTGAGGTAGACTTGAGGGAATTGAAAGGTTCATGGAAACAAAGCTGCAGGCAGTTGTTTGCAGTTCTGATTTTTTTTGGAAAATCAATATATTCAAATTTTTACATCTGATTATACAAAACCCTAACATTTATTGATGTGATATTTCTTTAAATCATTGGTGCAAGCAATTTTCTTGCAAAAGTAAAATCGTCTGACATTATACAGATTAAAAAACTGTCATATGAATGCAATGCACAATGCCACTAAAAGGGTTAAAGAGTTGTACTAAAAATGTACTTTGAATTCACAATTCATATAAAAATCCTGTTTCATCTAATTGTATATAAACAACAATTGTGGGTTGCTACCAAATCCCTTTGTCAATAATTGTATAGACATTTTTAAAATTGTTTCTAAAATTGGCATCCCTTCTGTGAAAGCATCACTCATTCACTCAGACACATCACTTATTCGGTAAATATTACAGAATGATATGGTCTGATATGTTAATCGAGTTGCGAGCAGAAAAGAGTTAATACTATCTTAGAGGATGATTTTTGAAACTTTGATCAAATAACGTACTTGAAACAAGTCATACAAACACAAGGCAACTTCGATGGTGGCTGCAAATCAAGTTTTGTTCGTAACTTTTTCCCAGTTACACCAGGTGCTAATGAAGGTGACAGAGATCTCTTGGGGTTTGATTCAACTTTTTGGAAAAAATTTGCAATACCAGTTTGCCTTTTCGTAGCTGTTTTTTCACCTTAATTGAAATGAATATTTTTTGACAATTACAATTGGGCCAATCAGCAACAGTAATTAAACTGATGTAATACTATGTAAAAAACTGATTTACAATAAATACCTTGGCATTTGGAACACAGTACCATAGCCCCATAACCCTCCTCTGGCCCTGGAATGCTACACGGCTCGAAGCTGTGGCAGGGTTTTGTGCAGGAATAACAACAATGACTTCCTGAATATTCATTCTCACAAGAGACACAAACTATAAAAGCAGTATATTAAAAGAAATGTTGCCAGTGCCACAACTTCATAACAATAGTTTAATTATACACTGTAAAACTTCGCAATAATAATATTGTATGTTAATATTTTGCAAGTGTTCGCCTGGCAATTGTAATATAGTGTCATATGGCATATCATTATTATTAATATGAAAGAGTAATAAATACAGTCCAACACAAACTTGAATCACAAGGCTGTCATTATTCATTTATAAGACTGGAATTAATGAGTTATTGAATATTCATTCATTAATATTGATAAACATGATCATAAATTGTGTACTATTCAATATTCATTATATAATAAATATACGTAAATCATGGAACTATTCGTCTATTCTTATATTAAAATATTAATATACAGGGGCATATAAAACCATTAATTTAAAACCCATTTTAAATAAATAGCACAATTACAAATATTCAGCACTTTCAATAATCGTTAATTGTCGTTACTTACTTGACTCACTTTGCTTTTCCTCAGCATAAATACTTGAAGGAGTTGAAGCCATTTCTAATTTCAATGCACTGTGATAGTGTTTCAATGTCACGTGTTTGGCTGTTTTCCCGCTTTGGGAGAATTTGAAAATCAGGCATTTTCAGGCAAATAGCGTCGCTTGCAACTAACGATGAACAGTCGCTCATGAAAACATTGCCTATTTTCCGAATTCCCGTGACAAAGTCAATGTTGTATATATATTCCGCAATATTCTTCCGCAATAGGAATTTCCTTGCTAAAATACCGCAAAACTCTACCGCATGCGGAATTTTCAAAGTTGGCCTGCCGCAATAAACTACCGCAGTAGCACTTTTTCAAATTGACCTGCCGCGGAAGATCTCCGGCTAAAGTGACGAACTTTCCACTATGGCATATGCCCGACCCCTCTGGGGCTTAACATTGATAGGTGCATAATAACTAGAGGCATTGTCAGATTTTTTGGTTAACCCTTAAAGTGCAGAGCTTCCCCATTGGCAGTAGACAATCAAAAAAAGTAGGATGCACTGGGACGCATTGCGGCTTAATGAGTTAATAGGCATGCACACACGATCAAGCGCCTTCCTAGGCTAGACCTGTAGGGGTGCACCAGAAACCATTTTTTTAAGTTCCGGCTGGAACTGGATCTGGCCGGAACTGCAAGAAAGTTCCAGCTGGAACTGAGTCATATGGTCATATGTTACTTTGTCTGCTGCCAGACAGTCAGACACTTTCAGTCATGAAACAGAGAGCATGCAAATGTTAGAATGAAAAGATTGATTATTGTTAAACAACATAATGAAGTGTAAATATCCATGTGTTTGAGTCAAAATAGTATAAACAATCAATTGAAACCATTGTTTTACCTTAAATAAATTGAAAGCTCAAACCTAGCTTATATATCAAACATATCCGACTGGATATTCTGGCCGGATAGCAAAAAGCTCTACCTGGTTCAGTGGTTCACCCTAGGCTTACTAACATTGTCTTGGTGAAGCAATAAAATGCAAATATTCAGCCATGAAATATAACCATGTGGTGATTCATCAGTTTTGTATTCTGCTCTTTTATGCTACATATCTAATAACAAAGTGATAAAGTAAGAGAAAAGAGAAAATCACTCTGCATTGATATTGTGTGCTTCAGGAAATATATCTTCAAAAATGATAGAACTCTGGCTAGGGCTCCTGTGCAACTAACACTAAACCACATCATGTTGCATGTTTTATTTCTTTAAGAAGGTCTCTGACCGTGCCTTTTTGTCGCCACCATGACAATGCACGTCAATGCTTTTTGTTTTGCTAAACAGTGTTTTCTTGTATATAAATATATAGGATCCTTGTTAATAAGATTCAATAGAGGTTGAGCAATTGTTCATATAACTCATAAAAGGATCATATGGGGGGGGGGAATTTGGCATGTTGCATTTGTCAAATCGTCGGAATGAGCTTGGTGACCTCAACTTTTTTGTCTGTTTTTATTATGAGGATATCATAAACTTCACCCCTGGGAAGTTTCCGCAAATTCTCATTCCCAGAACAATATTGATGAATCACCTAGAATCTTATTTTTATAATGTCCTTTAGATGAGTGCAAAGATTTGATGTTGATTGAGAAAAACCAGTTGGCTTCTGCAGAATGGAAGCTCACAGGTGAAGATGAGAAGCAAGTGTTCAAGAGTTCATCAGATGACCTCGAATCATGGCTGTTGGTAAAAACATCAAGCACAGCCAGGAGGAAAAACCTTTAATTTTGTCCATTTATACCGAAGCAGAAGAAAGGTTTTGGTTATTCTATGCTATCACTAAGCCAACTTAAATACAGCAAACAGGACCACTTACAAAGATTACTGGTTGGTCCTTAGTCCTACTAACTGAAGGTTACAAAGTCCTGCATTCCAAACAAGTGACTTTACTGGGGAAAAACATTCGTACAATGCATGGTCCCATGTATTTCACACTGACTGAAACCTTATGCCAGACAAGTTACAACCTTCCACTAGGAAATAGGCAAGCCATTGAAAAAGCTCCTGGAATGCTTAGTTAAGTAGCTTAAGTTTGGAGTAGTAATGTAAATAGATTTTCCTATCCACTGTATTTGGTATTTCATATTAATGACAAAAAGGTGAGTTCGTTACTTAAAATACTCTCTACCACTGGTCTACATTTTCATTAATAGACTAACATCCACTAATACATATTTTCGATAATTACATCACGAGTACGTTATTGGCCTGGGAGCTTCATTCTCATGAATCGTGAGCCAATCGCCTTCCGTCTCCCAGACCAAGAATGTATTCATGACGTATTATCGAAAATGTTATTCTAGTCCTATGTATCTCATATCGTTGATCTAACAACCTTCCAATGGTAATCTAGGCATATCTGATCATGATTGGAGGGTGTTAGATCAATGACATGACATGCGTACATCGGTGTTTAATAGGGGTTGTTAAATCAGTTATGATCAGACATGCCTAGATTACCATTAGAGGTTGTTATATATCAATAATAAGACATGCCCATATTACCAGTAGAGGGTGTTAGATCAATGAAATGACATGCGTACATCAGCGTTTGGGGTTGCTAAATCTGTTATGATCAGACGTGCCTAGACTACCAATGGAGCGTGTTAGATAAGTAATAAGACATGCCTATATTACCAGTAGAGGGTGTTCAATCAATGAAATGACATGCGTACATCAGTGTTAGGGGTTGCAAAATCAGTTACGATCAGACATGCTCAGATTACCATTGGAGGGTGTTAGATCAATGGTATGACATGCCTATATTACCAATGGAGGGTTGTCAGATCAATGAAATGACATACGTAGATCAGTGTTAGGGGTTGCTAAATCAGTTATGATCAAACATGCCTAGATTACCATTAGAGGGTGTTAGATCAATAATAACTACCTCTACTGGTAATATAGGCATGTCATACCTTTGATCTAGCACCCTTCAATGGTAATCTGAGCATGTCTGATCGTAACTGATTTTGCAACCCCTAACACTGATGTACGCATGTCATTTCATTGATCTAACACCCTATACTGGTAATATAGGCATGTCTTTTTATTTATCTAACACCCTCCATTGGTAATCTAGGCACGTCTGATCATAAAAGATTTAGCAACCCCAAACACTGATGTACGCATGTCATTTCATTGATCTAACACCCTGCAATGGTAATCTAGGCATGTCTTATTATTGTTGTAACACCCTCTAATGGTAATCTCGGCATGTCTGATCATAATTATTTAGCAATGCCTAACACTGCATGATCTACGCATGTCATTTCATTGATCTAACACCCTCTACTGGTAATATAGGCATGTCTTATTATTGATGTAATACCCTCTAATGGTAATCTAGGCATGTCTGATTATAACTGATTTAGCAACCCGTATTAAACACTGATGTACGCATGTCATGTCATGTCATTGATGTGGTAATCTAGGCATGTCTTATTATTGATCTAACACCCTCCAATGGTAATCAAGGCAAATCTAGGCATGTGTGATCATAATTGATTTAGCAATCCCTATCACTGATCTACGTATGCCATGTCATTGATCTAACAACCCTCCAATGGTAAACTAGGCATGTCATATCATTGATCTAACACCCTCCAATGTTAATCTAGGCAGGTCTTATTATTGATCTAACACCCTCTAATGCTAATCTAGGCATGTCTGATCATAATTGATTTAGCAACCCCAAACACTGATCTACGCATGTCATTTCATTGATCTAACACCCACTACTGGTAATATAGGCATGTCTTATTATTGATCTAACACCCTCTAATGGCAATCTAGGCATGTCTTATTATCGATCTAACACCCTCCAAAGGTAATCTAGGCATGTCTGATCATAATAGATTTAGCAACCCCAAACACTGATCTACGTATGTCATTTCATTGATCTGACAACCCTCCAATGGTAACATAGGCATGTCTTATTATTGATCTAACACCCTCTAATGGCAATCTAGGCATGTCTTATTATCGATCTAACACCCTCCAAAGGTAATCTAGGCATGTCTGATCAAAATTGATTTAGCAATCCCAAACACTGATGTACGTATGTCATTTCATTGATCTAACAACCCTCCAATGGTAATATAGGCATGTCATACCACTGATCTAACACCCTCTAATGGTAATCTAAGCATGTCCGATCGTAACTGATTTAGCAATCCCTAACACTGATCTACGTATGCGCCATGTCATTGATCTAACAACCCTCCAATGGTAATCTAGGCATGTCATATCATTGATCTAACACGCTCCAATGGTAATCTAGGCATGTCTTATTATTGATCTAACACACTCCAATGGTAATCTAGGCATGTCTGATCATAATTGATTTAGCAATCCCTAACACTGATCTACGTATGTTATTTCATTGATCTAACAACCCTCCAATGGTAATATAGGCATGTCATACCATTGATCTAACGCCCTCCAATGGTAATCTAAGCATGTCTGATCGTAACTGATTTAGCAACCCCTAACACTGATCTACGTATGTCATTTCATTGATCTGACAACCCTCCAATGGTAATATAGGCATGTCTTATTATTGATCTAACACCCTCTAATGGCAATCTAGGCATGTCTTATTATCGATCTAACATCCTCCAAAGGTAATCTAGGCATGTCTGATCATAATTGATTTAGCAATCCCAAACACTGATGTACGTATGTCATTTCATTGATCTAACAACCCTCCAATGGTAATATAGGCATGTCATACCACTGATCTAACACCCTCTAATGGTAAACTAAGCATGTCCGATCGCAACTGATTTAGCAATCCCTAACACTGATCTACGTATTTCATTGATTTGACAACCCTCCAATGGTAATATAGGCATGTCTTATTATTTATCTAACACCCTCCAATGGTAATCTAGGCATGTCTGATCGTAACTGATTTAGCAACCCCTAAGGGGCCATTCACAAAGGATGTCCGAGCCGAGGGGGGAGGGGGGTTTGGAAAATCAGGACAAACTCGGACATAGGGGGGAGGG